GGCCGGTTGTTTCAGTTGCCAACAAGGGTGAAAAAAAAAAAACAAAACAAAAAACACGTAACAAACCGAACTCGATGTACGCTTTCCAATAAACCAAACATGAAACTAAGGTGTCTGCAAAACAATTTCGCATGAACACAATTGAGAAAGTACTTCATAAGCGTAATGTCAATGAACGTTGACAGCTTAAAAAATCGGAAAATTGCGTAGCGAGCTGGCCAATTAGGATCGATTAATACATCAGGATTTAGCGCTATTGCGCTTATGAAGTACTTTCTATACTGCTTTCGTGCAATATTCTGTTTTGCAGTCAACATAATTTTACATTTATTGTGTTAGAAACCATATAAAGGGGTCAGTTTAACATTGCTTTTTTTTAGTGGCTATACAACGCTGCGGATATATAGACACAAATGGTGATGTAAAGTCACGCACACGGAGCTATTTTGCAGCCCATCGACGCGCTCATACATCCGGAGAAGACGCGATAACGAACTGAGAATTTCCAGCCCAAACTCGAGTAGGTACAGCTTATCTACTCTGAAAAGGCACTCCACAAGCACATAGCTGCGTTATACTCTCACACCTATTGTGGCAGTTTGCCAAATAACCACGCGCGAGGAAGGATGCACGTAAACCCGCAGGCAAAGCACTGATATGCAGATAACGCAACGGCCGCTATCGCTTTCTATAGCCCGTGGCAACGCCTCGAGCTCTCGCCAGAGTCTGATAACAACGCGTAGTAATACCTGACTCCAGGTTCTACTTCGCAGCACACGATTGTACATTACAGTAAGGTAATTGGTACATATCATCATCATAATCTGCCTGACTACGTCCAGTGCAGGACAAATGCCTCTCCCATGTTCCGCCAGTTAACTCGGTCTTGTGCTTGCTGGTGCGTATATATATATATATATATATATATATATATATATATATATATATATATATATATATATATTATATATATATAATATATATATATATATATATATATATAAGGGAAAGAAGTGTACACCTAAGGGCTCGTTTTTCCGTGTTTTAACACAATATTAATGAGATCTAACAGACAGTAATGACAAGGAATGTACAGGGGAAGTTATTAGAACCAATGGAATGTAAATAAGAAAAAAGAAAAGTGGATAAAAAAATAACCAGCCGTGAGCAGGAATCGAACCTACGACCTTCGAATAACGCGTTCTATGCTCTAACTACTGAGCTACCACAGCGGCATTCCCTCCATCCGCTTTTTTGGGTTTATATGTGAATTTAGAAGTAGAAGTGACAGTCAGCGCCATCTATAAGCCAAACGACGAGTGTGAAAACAATCTTATGCGCATGTTTGGCGTCACGTAGCACGTGAACTTATAAGGGGAGTAATAATTCAATGGGCCAGTTAGTCTTCGTGAAGGTATGGGATATGGCACAACGGGAGCGTTGTCAACAAGGATATTATATATATATAATATATATATATATATATATATATATATATATATATATATATATATATATATATATATATATATATATATATATATATATATGCGTGTGTGTGTGTTATGTATGTGTGTGTTTCTCATCAGAATACGTATGCCTGGCGATAGTGCAGTTACGTGCGCATATCAAGCGAAGCAGACATATGTTAACAAAAATTGATAAATACATACGGTAATCGAAGAAAAAAATCGCGTTAAAAAGAATAACTGATCCGCTTGATACACCGATAACGTTCGCGAAAGCCTAGTCGTGTGGATATGCTGATCAAACGCGCAGAATATTATAATGAGCGCTGAAAGCATTTTTGTACAGCGACGGAACTGACTCGTGCTATGCCAGATAAGCCTCGAGCTGATAACCAATGGTGCGTCAGTGCCGCTGTACTGAACAGGCATCGTAACCTTGTCATGCAAAGGGAACCCCAGAAGAACATCAGTGAAAAGACTAGAGCTGTATACCGCGGAGCGAGAAATCTTTGCGACGTACTATTGTGATTATCATTCCGGAGACAAGTGCATCTCCCATGGTCATCGCACCGGTCAAAGCACCGAATAAACATTTTCCCTCACCAATGGTCATCGGCTCATTTCTGCCTACGACCCCTTTGGCCACTCCACCACCACGTCCGTGATTCTACGCCAGTTGAAAAATTTAAGGTTTTTTTTATTTTACCCTCTCCATTGTTTCTCACCACTTCCCTCTCTCACCATATCGCTACAGTGCACTACACAAAAATATGCTATGTTATACCCTTTCCCTTCCTCATTTACCTCCCTCTAATTCACACATCAGTCTATGTAGTGATGCTCCTCACCTCCCTTTCCGAATCCTAGATATGGTATGCCTCCCATCCTCCCCTCCTCATTTTCTCCTCTTTCTCTTCCCTTTTCCAACAGCGTTCCTATGATTCCCATATATGCTTGTACTCGGTAGTGGGGCTTGCCCAATTCCTTTTAAGCCCGCCAACTGGTTTCTGCTAACGCCCGTGCCTTAACTGAACACAACTAACGAACAACAAAATCAACCGCCAACGAAGGGTATTCCGTCTGCTGGGAATTCAGTGAAGTTGCGAGGTCAACGTGCCGTGAGCTCCCTCAACAGGCTTCCCAAAGTAAAAGAAAAGCCCTCGCCGTTTTGCTTTTGTTGTATAGACAGAGTGCGCCAGGCGCCTCGACGGGGCCGGAAGCGCCAAAACAAACATCGCCGGCGAGCTCCAAATTCGCGAAGACAACAAAGAAAAGGTAAAGTACCAAGGCCGCCGTCGCTATAGGAGCCCTAGCGCTTCCTAAAATTGCGCTTTCCCGCTGGCACCTCGCCCTGGCAGGGTAGCCCTACGCAAGGGGCAGCGAACCTCGACATCAAAGCGAACAACATAGAGATACAATGCGGTACAAGGAACTGGCTGACAGCGAGGATACGACGCCCAAAATACCAATGCTTGGGAGTAATTCAATTAAAATGACCTTGGCGGAAAGAGTAGGGTGGCTTAGAGTGACGCTTCGAAGGACGTCGGAGCGCTTTTGTTCGCCACAGCGGCTCGCTGCATCTCAAGAAAAATATAAAAAAACAGAAAAGTTTAAGAAAGAAAATACATTATTGTGAACAAACAGAAATTATTGTGAATTAAACGAGGACTGCCTTTTCGTCAACCTTAATTTCTTTCCGCTTATAACGTAATTACTACCAATGAATTCCCTAACATACTTTCCTTGGCTCGGTTGTCTGTTCGTTTTCATTAACGTTGTGTCTAACCAATAAACAGTCCCTTAAATTCCCCTAATTTGTTCAGGGAAGACACATTGGCTCTTGCTTCCAATAAACCTAATTATTTATACACTAAAATAATGTCAACACAGGGCTAAGTAACATAAGGGCAAGAACTGACGATACGACCACTGTATTTTTATCATGTACAAGGGAACCGCATCCACCTAGCCGAATTGGCAGATTTAGTTCAAGTAAACGTTAGTTTGAACTCAACACGCAGAACGTAACGCAGGAACATGCCATCCAAAAATGGGGTATATACAGAAGCACACTTATAACGCGTTGTGAGTATAGCGAAACTTTATTAGTTAAGGTACAGCTATCTACAAGCTTCAAGTTTAAGCATGCCGTAATAAAGGGGGAGATAGAAGAAAAAATGACTTTACTGTAGCACCGACGAGAAATTCGAAGTCCTCGTATCGATAATGGCTGATTTCGAAATAGCAATGCCGCTGAGAAAGCCAGGAACCTGTCGCAAGCAAATACACGTTGCAGAGCAATCGAGACGCATGAAATTACGCAAGAAAGGGGGCGTGCCGAGTCATGAAGGTATATACGACTCACACACGCCACATTCCTCTGAATATTCGTTATGTCGCGATTCATTGTTCCCGCTTTATTACCTTACAGGTTCACAAAATGTTCAGAAGTACACCAATCGGCATTTAATTTGCCAATACATTGAAAACATCGCGCTGCAGATTTGACGTAAACGAGAGAAAGCAGTATCAATGCTGCTCACAGAAATATATAAAAAAGTGCAATTCTTACAAAACTCTACAATCGCTTATCTTGAATGCGTGAATGCTTTGTTAAGTGCCCCGATAAAAAAATGCTGAATTCACAAGTCAGTGTTATGGCTTTAAATTGAGCTCATAATTACAAGCGCTTATGTAAGGATCCGAAAAATTGGACCAGCAACCTTGGTGTAGGATAATGTATCTACTTTATACTATACCATATCCTACATATGCGTAATCATAAGGGCCGGTATACGATTGCAAGGACAAGACTCATATCTGATCTCCCGATACTCTACGGCAAAAACAAACAAGTAATCACTCTACAATTACGTGGCAGCATCGGCGTCCATTCATTGACCTACAGCTGCTAAATCGAACGCGGCAATGTTTCGTCACGGTAACGGTTGCTAATATTTTTTCTATAACTGCAATATATGAGTCGAAATCCATCGATGAACGCTTGAAGAGCGAACTGGGGCATATATAAAATTAACTAGTCGAGGCGATCAGCGTTATGAAACATCAAAGAGCGGTGAAGCGCATCGCGTCCATTAACGCGTTTTGAGAACGAGATCGAATCTCAGCTTTGCGCAATTTATTCTGATTCGGCTTGGCGGCTCTCCGTCGCGACGGTTTGGAACACGCGCCTTTACAACAAAGCAAGTATCCTCGGATGTACCGGTTACCGACGGTAACGCCAGATGTCCAATGGCGACCTTGTCAAACTCTTGAAGGAGACGAGGCGGTGCCGCCGGTAATCGTGCCGCGGTACAAGAGCTGTCGATATGTTGTTAAACGTCTTATCGTTCAATGCATCGCAAGAGCGAAAACATAGCTTGGTAATAATCATAGCCTCTTTTCGAGCGACAAGTGTCTCTTCTTTTTTTTCCTAACGCGCAACGGCAATTCCAGTTGTCTCGGCCGGCAAATGCCAACGGCTTCTCTCGCAGGGCGTCAAGTGAAAGAAAAGATCGCAGCGACACTCACATTAGGGAAGCGTTATCAGGCGATGGTCAGATGCTGCTTATCGGGCCTTGTCTCGTCCCAACGTTGAAGCCGGCGCAGCAGCCCACTGTAGGTGACCTTGTCGCAGAACAGGCTTCCGCAACGAAAAGCTACGGCCGCTTACAAAAGGGTGGCAGCAGCAGCGGCGATAGAGGTGTTATATGCCTGTTTATCATTTGTTTTTTTATTTTTTATCAAACAGTTAGTAAGTAAGTAAGTAAGTAGGTGCTCCTAATCCCTTTTGGCACAGGGCAGGCGCCAGCAGCGCCACAGGACAAAGTTGTGCGCTTCAACGCACATCCATACACACGCACACACACATCACCAGTCAGGCGCTTGCCGCGCCACCGTCAAAAAAAAAAAAAAAAAAAAAACATTTTGTGTTTTACACGCACTTCACGCGAACACGCACTCACACGTTTTCCACTTTACTGTTCGAAGAAAGAAAGGTCTGGTAGTAAATTGCCAGTTTCGCCACCAGGGGAAACGTGCCCTCGGCCAAGTCTATCCAGTGGCGTCGGCGTCGTTTAGATATTTTCTGTCGGCCCTTCGTTGCGCTGGACACTGTCGGGGTGTTTGTCCACCTGCCAGCACAGTCTGTCCCAGAGTTTTAGACGTCGCTTGGCACTCTCGGTGTGTTCGACTCGGGTGTCGACGGGATCATCTGGGAGACCCAGATATTCCGCCAGGTTTATCTTGGGTAGGTCCCTCGCTCCGAGTCGCGGGCAATCCATCAGGATATGTTGGATGGTTTCTTCCGTGGCCCCGCATAGGCGGCACGACGGGTCCGTGTCGAACAGTTCCCAATGCCGCTTCCGCGTGGGCAGTGACCCCGTCCTGGCTTGGAACAGGAGGGCGCTTTCCCGGTCGCCCCTGTAAAATGGCTCACGGTCTGGAGCCTGCTTGTATTCGAGGTATAACTGTAGGCTCCTTTTCTTTGCCGCCGACGTGCGCCACATCTCTGTGCTGGCTTCGGTTATAGTGTTTTTTGTTATTATACGCCATTCTCGTTCCGATTTTGCTTCTTCCAGTTTTGTGTTATGGCCGAATTTATTTTCCAGAGAAGCCAGTCGTTTCATCCACTGTGTTTTTATGCCCCTGTATCGAAGGTGTAGGTATATGCGCTGGCTGTAATTTGTTTCTGGTAGAAACTTTAGCCGGCCCGCATATTGTATTTTTGACCTTGCTTCGCGTGCTTCGAAAGTTGACCAGGCCAACTCCCCTGTTACTGCTGCGTTTGCTGTTGCAAAGCTGCCTCCCAGTAGCCAGCGCCCCAGTTCATTTTGGTGGCGGTCCAAACATCGCACTGTTTGGGTAGAGTACGCCAATGTGTCACCTGCGTAGGTTATTGCAGGCACGGCAAGAGTCTTCCAAAGTGTGCGGCCTACCCTGTAGGGGTTGTAGGAATGCCGTGACAGGTGCCACACCCTACCTTTTAGGCGGTTGGATTGTTTTAGGAGTAATTCTTGGTGTTTGTCAAGGTAATTCTTTTGGTCTGATATTGTTATGCCTAAATATCTGTATGTTGCTGTTTTCTTGATGGTGTTGCCTTGGATGGTGAATGTTATGTCTTTGTCATCAATGTTTATGCCCATCCATTGTGTTTTGTCAGTGTTGAATGTGAGGCAATCTTCGTGGGCTACGCGAGAGCATATGTCGAGGAGATGTTGCAGGTCCGCTGGGGATTCAGCCAATAATACGATGTCATCGGCAAATGCCAAGCATGAAATTTTAGTGTAGATTTCTTGGCGCTCAGTTGTTACGGTGGAAAGACGTAGCCCTGGTCCTTCTCTATTTACTTGTTCTAGTAGGCTGTTAATGTAAATATTGAATAATGTTGGCGATAGTGGGCACCCTTGTTTAAGTCCAATATTTTGTTGCACCTGTCTAGATTTATATTTGCCCAGTTCATACACTGCCGTACACTCTGCATATAGTGCTTTTAGTAATTTGATGAAGTCTTCCTCAATATTAATTTTTTCTAGCTTCTCCCACAGTCGTGAGTGCGGCACTGAGTCATATGCTTGTTGTAGATCCAGGTATGCCAGGTATAGTTGAGATTTGTCTCTGTTTTTCATTTCTATTGCCTGGGTTAGGGTAAAGATATGGTCACTTGTCCGTCTGTTTGGGCGAAATCCATTTTGCGATTCTGACAAGATTAAGGTTTTTTCACAGTGGTTTTGTAGCCTGCGATTCAGGATTGTATTGAAGAGTTTCAGAATGCTACTCAGTATTGTTATGGGGCGATACGCCCCAATGTCACTTGTTTCCTTTCCCTTTCCCTTGTGAATCAGCTTTACCCGGCTTTCTTTCCAAGTTCTTGGTATTTTTCTGCTTGCCAGAATGTCGTTGAGGCAGCCGCGTAGCATTTCCTTTGCCTCTGTTTTGAATGCTTTCAGGAATTCGTTGGGTATATCATCGAGTCCTGTTGCTTTCTGGTTTTTTAGATCATTTATGCGTCTCTTTAGTTCTAGTTTAGAAATTGGTCCAGTCAGCTTTTCTTCTTCAGGTGTGCTGGTCTTGTCCTTTCAGTTCTTCTTCTTCATCATAGATGGCTCTGCCATATTAACCCAATCTTTCTCCAACACGCGTTGGTTTGATGTGTGACTAAGCGAAAAGTTATCTTTATAAACTTTCTGTATTGAATAATTGTGCCACCTCTAATGTTACAGTACAGCATTTGTTTCAATTAACGGGTTCGTGTTCGTTACGCGTGCGCCGCGCAATTTAAACATGGCGGCGCCTAGACACTGGATTCGCCCACCTGCTGAGATCGCCTCCCCGCTTGTTCTTGCGCTGTTGTGTTTAATGCGACACCAGGTTTTTGCTCTTCACTGCGGGCTCCGGCGCCGCAGATTCTACCTTCCACTCACACTTTCCCTACACGTATCAATCTACAGCACAGCTCTTAATAACAGAGATGTAGTTCTCGAGGATGATAACGCGCTGTCTCGCGTTTTCAACGTGCCTCGTCTTCCGCTCTGTTCTGGGAGGCGTGAACACGCCATGAATCGTACAACGATTTCATCCAGCTTCGCGCGCCACATTTGTGTCGCACAAGCATATTCAACGAACTGCGCATGGACCACGCGTCGGCTCAAGGCCGTTCACCGCCGCGTGTCGCACATTCTGCACCGGACAAACGTAGTTGACGGAGAGAGAACGGACGACCTTCTCTCCGTACGCCCCTTTCTCCCTTTCTCTCTTATTCGGGGACTGCTGCTTGCTTGGCCGGTGGTTGCCCATCTCAACTGGGGCTGGGCTCATCCAGTTTCTCGTGTGTACAGGCGACGACCGCGTTATCTCGTATCTTCTTCCTCGTGGTAGTGTGGCGCGTCGCACGACCGTCGTCACGCACAGTCTGTACGGAGCTTGCCACCATCCTGCACGCCGGTGTAAGCGGACCGTAGCACACGAGCGCACGCAACGTGGATACCTCCCCACAAGACCTGTTGATCACACCGAGAGATGGCACAGCGCAAGCTCAATTTCTCGGCCGGACCTTCGGCCGTGCCGCTCGAAGTGAGGACCTTTCAACAGTCGTGCATATCTGTGTGCGGGGCAAACTCCGTCAGTGAATCATGAGAAGGCTACGAATTGTCTGTTGTCTTAACGATGCCGTCAATCTCTTTGGCAGGTGCTTCAAGTTGCGCAGGAAGAGATGCTGAATTATAAAGGATGTGGAGCCAGCGTCATGGGTCAGTTCATGATGGCAGTTTTTTTCTTTAAGTCGCGTGATTTGTGTTTATGGTCTAAGTGCATTGTATGTGCTTTCAGTGAACGTTTCATACAGCGTACACGTGTTACTTACAGATAGACTATTATTATAATTTGATGTTGTCAGAAGAGATCATCTCTGAAGCTATTTCATTTTGGAATATTACATTTCATTCATAGCAGTGTTTCATATTTATTATGACATTTGACATAATACTAAGCGATTATCTTTGACTGTAAAAAAAATAAAATCTGGCCCATGCTAAAGATTTTGTATAATGCAGCTTGCATTTATAGAATTACTGTTGAAATTTATGTGCGCCTGTGATGTAAAGATGAAACGCATCTATTTTGCAGAATTGAGTCACCGCTCGGCCGAGTTTGCAGAGATAGTCGAGACTGCCGAAGCTGACCTGAGAGATCTGATGTAAGGCCTTCCAGGCTTTTTATCTTATCCAAGTAGACAGACGACTTACAGACATTCTCTAGGAGAATTACCCTTTGCTTTTATCTTTATGTGTCACACACTGTGTCAAACCATGATAAATATGTATTGCCTGCACTTCCCTCTTTGTCATGTGTTCAAGAATCTCGCTGCATCAAGCCGAAATAGCGTCCTTGTATGGAAAGTATGCACTAAGAAAGATATTTGCAAGGTCCTCGCATGCTCATAACTGCTTATTTACTCTACTTCTAGGCGCATTTGTTCATGTGGTTTTTTTAATAACTAGAATTCCTGCCTCTCTTATTGTTACCATTTGAGGGAGATGTCTCTGAAGACCAGTTCATATTTGAAATATGAGCTGGTCTGGTGAAATGTGAACTATGAAATATGAACTGGTGAAATATAAACATGTGAAATAATCTTGCATGTTTTCACATTTGGCAACTACTTCAGCATACCTTGCATTTGTACTTTCAGGTAATAGTGAGCTTTCTAGTAATATACACTAAATTAGTGGGCATAGCCTTTGCATATGGGCACGATATGAGTATTCGAATAGCATTTGTCCCTCGCAAAGGCTGGAACATGCTTGAGTCACCGCAAAGAGGCTTTGCGGGCCACACAGTATCAAATTTTTGGCAGGTGGACCGCAAACGCCATGTTATGACGCATGTGCAGTGACAGTAACCGCAACGAATACTGTTTGTGTTCCCTATTCGAAAACTCCCTAATTTTTCTCTTTAGAAGTGGAACCTCTTTGTTGTGATTAAAGACATAGTAGAAGCATTTTGATGTTTTCCAGAACCACCATCAATCTAGTCTTATGATACAGATTTTGTGGTAAAACTATGAACTAAGAAACTAATGCTCATATATTTGCGTCCAACAGAACTTGCCGACATTGTTGGCAGGTTAAGGCCAAAAGTGGCGTGTAAAAACAGTGCTCCGTTCAGCTGAGATGAATTTTCGCAAAAGACAATCCATCAATAACGAGTTCTGCTAAGGAACCAAAAATCGCATCTTGAGAAATGTGCATCTTAAAAGAAAAATTGAAAGCTTGCCTATGTGATGTGCTTTTTCTTGAATTTATTTCTTCGAAGGGGTTTGAGAGTCATGGTTATTTTGAGCATGGTGTTTTGGTGGACTCTTTGCATGAACTGCAATGGCAAGCAGCCACGCGATGTCTGCAAGGGAACTCAAAATCTCTTTTTGAACGGCCACTTTGTGCTCCTCAAGTGCAATTTTAAGACATTTAAAAAAACAGTTCTTAAAGAAAACTTCCATTTTCATTGCTAAGAAAGTAGACACACTCAGCTTGACAGAACAAAAACAAAAGATATGTAATTTTAGAAAAAACAGAAACTTGTGTTTTTCAAGTAGCATATTCTTTTAAGACATGATGGTCTATTGCAACAATAAAGTGCAAGTTATGTGGTGTCACTATGATACCACGTTCCCGAGTACTATTGCGGATCTCTAGAGGAGTCAATAGGACAAATATAAAAATAGCGCAACACGGCATTACTCGTCTTACTCTGCTTTCTTTAAAAAAAAAATTGATGGTCAGCACTGTGCTCTGTTGCCTGCTTGTTCACTCGAAAGCCGGTACCAGCTTACCTGACATTCGGTGCTTCTGAATGTTGCATAAGCTCATGTAGTTGCATTTGTCATTGAAAGTGTCAGATGATGTGTGTAATCTGGAGTTGCAGGAATGGAGACACATGCATGCATGAAATCCGGCATGTATATGAAGCACGTGCGGTGCTCAATGCAGGGGCATCCCTTCAAACTACAAAGTGATCTTCATGCAAGGTGGAGGCACAGGCCAGTTCAGTGCCATCCCGCTTAATCTGTGTCCGCATGGCAAAGAACAGAAGGCTGACTATGTTGTCACTGGCACTTGGTCGGCCAAGGCGGCCAAGGAGGCCGAAGCTCACATCCAGGTCAACAAGGTGCTTCCCAAGGTTGACAAGCACGTGGGTGAGTACAGTGAAAAGTAATTTGTGCTGCACATTTAGTACAGAAGCTTGAGCTAGCTAGTTTGGATTCGTATTGGTAAATGTGTGCACTTCACGATAGTTGGATGACACAGTCAGATTCCTCTGTAAGAGACAAGTGGGTATAAGAGACTTCGGTGTACCTACATTGAGTAAAAAAAAGGCATACATGGTACACTGCTTATAAGAGACACCTCATATAAAATATAAGAATTGCTCCCTGGCGCTTATTTATATAAAGGAGTTCTCCGGATGTCGATGAACTTTAGATAAAAAGAGTAGAAGGGACAGGCCCCATCTCTCTTGCATCTGTCTTGTCTACTACTGTTGTCTGTCATCTGAAGCTGATGAAGTGCACACTTTTACCTTTAATGTCCCGTTTATCAAGAAAGCTAGAAGTTTGGATGAGATGGTAAATATTGTCAAGCTAAGGACAGAGTGACAGAAGAGACTTTGTAGTGTTTACCAGCAATGTTTACATTGAAGAGGTTATCCATGCTCAGAGAGATAAAAACAATGAAAAGTGCGTTATCAAGCAACAGGTGCAAAACAAGCACAATTGTAAGGGGGGTAAGGAGAACAGTGGCTGTGTATATTTACTTTCATGAGCCGCTTTATCTGAAAGGTACTTAGTCACAGAGCACCACGATAAACGCTTTGCCCCGCACGAGATATGGTTCGTGAAGACAGCCTAACCAATAAAGCTGTCAGAATCTATTGTGTGGGAATGCAAGAGTTCAGTGACCTGCGAAATACCAGCACTCAGATGGCAGGCAATTTTTTATTCGATAGCGCTGGGAATCAGGAGTTTTCTGTCACACCCAGCTTTCATATTTATGTGGTATGGCAAATTGTGTGAGCCACCTCACCGGCACAGAGAGCGAAGTGACCAACATGTACGCGATCCATGTTGCAATGAGCTAGCTGCATGGTGGCAGTGACAAGAGAGCAAGAGCAAGACACACCTGTATTGGCTTTCTTTTGATATGTGTGGTTTAACGTTCCAAAACCATCGTATGAATATGAGAGACTCAGTAGTGGAGGGCTCCGGAAATTTCGACCACCTGGGGTTCTTTAATGTGCACCCAAATCTGAGCACACAGGCCTACAGCATTTTAGCCTCCATCGAAAATGCAGTCGCCGCAGCAGAGATTCGATCCCGCAACCTGCGGTTCAGCAGCCGAGTACCTTAGCCACTAGACCACTGTGGCGGGGCTATCGGTTTTCTTTTTTACGCCTCTTCACTTGAATGCAAATGGAAACCAGAGCAAATGGAAACATGGACCAGCACAAAAGAGAGAAGCAAGAAATAGAGGCCAAAGCGGCCCTTGCTCACAATCAAATAAACACAGTTATTCTCAAGTTTGACTAGCACACGAGAGAGTACGATGAAAGTTTCCCTGAAATGCATTTGCATTTATGTATGTTACTCTCGAAAGAAGGCTAGAAGTATGGGTGGATCGCAGCAGTTGTACTGTGGTTATGGTGATCAGCTGCTGATGCAAAGAGCATAGTTTCAATCCCAGGCACGGCGGTTGCATTTTGTTGGAGGGAAATGCTATATTTGGGGACAGCTTTCTCTGACAGCGCGATCAATGTTACAGTGCCAAACCACATTGTTCGGATAGTTTCGCTGCACAGTAGTCCAACAAAATAATTATTTGCTGTACATATCGAGCATTCATAAAATGTACAGATCATATTTTTTCCCTCAAATTGATAACACCACAAAATTATTTGGTACACTGTGTGAGATAGCATCATTGTTTACATTTCTGGGTTTTGTTTTGTTGCACTTTTTTTTTTGTTGTTGCAGTGTTCTCTACTGGCATCGCATATGTTCTACTCAAAGAAAAAAAAAAAGCACAGCCGCCTCGTCGACAGTGCCTTTTTCTTCTGGTAGCTTGCCGCCTTAATCGCTGCATAGAATTTTCAAGTCGTTTGAGAACCAAATGCTGCCAAAACAAAGAAAGCAAGCAGTTGCAATGTGTCTGCCCAAGTGAGACTGGTGCATCCGCGACTCTCCGTTGTTTTCACATTTTGTTAGTGCAATTAACCAGCTTAGCGGCGTAAGCGAGCATAATGTTGCACGTCTCAAGGTGGAGGCTCTGAGTGGTACCCTGGTTAGAAGCACATGAAGCGTAGGGGAAGCTTCGCCAGTATGCCTGCATGCTCAGTGACTGTGGATCAACACTCAACCATGGAGTGCATTCAAAAAATTAACTGTAGAAAACACATAGCTGTCATGCCGAAACTGAAACCAAAACCAGTTTATCAGAGACTACCTTAGCGTATTAACACATAGCAGTTAGCGTCACCCCCTGTAGCTTTCACTCCATTGCCATAAAAAGCTGTCCCCGGGTGTACAGGCCCGCGTGCTATGTGACGTTGATGCACGTTTAAGAACCCCAGATGGTCAAAATTTCCAGGGCGTTCCACCGCAGTGTGCCTCAATATTATATCGTGGTTGCGGCATGTGAATCTCCACTTACTATTTTATTACTAGAAGTATGTGCAAGTTGGTAGTGCATGGCAATCTGAGAACAGCGTGACAAAAGGCACATGGCAGCCAATTCCAGCTCTGTTTAATGGCAATTGAAAGGCTATATATTGAGGTGTGCACAGAAATGAGCACCAACACTCAAAAGCGCCTTATTAAACTACATGTACAAAATATTTCTTCAAGGGCCACATGTTGACAGTTCTGTGAAACCTTTGCCTTTTTTTTCTCTTTTGATGATCTATCTTTAGAGCTCTATCAACAGTAAATACATACACTCTTACCTATGGAGCTTTCAAATGCAGCCTTAAATTGACCAGAGGAATTTATAACCCACTGTAATTCGTGCAAAGCACAATACTGTTTTGGGCTTTTTTGTGCTTGCTAGCTATCTATGTCTGTGGCATGAAGGACAAGGGGCATAGAAATAGAAACAAACGGGAATTTATAACCATTGCCTATTGCGCAAGTATCGTCCCTCTTCTGCTTAGTACTTTTTTTTTCTGCCAAAGATGGTTAGAAAATAGATTTTTATTCTGACGGAGGCAAGCAGGGAAAGTTTCTTTGTTGACCATTGTTTAGCTTTATACTCGCATATAGCTGCATTGTTTCATTGTGTTAGCAATGAAGAAGTGGACATGCATGTGCTAATATGAACATGTTCGGCCTGCACAGTCTAACACCGTTAGAAGAAGAAAGAGCAGAAATAGGGGCAGGTTGAGTAAAGTACATGGTCTTGTGCCATCGCACTGTAACATACGTGAGCACCCGCCGCGATTCCATACTTGTTATGGTGCTCATTTGCCGACCTGCAGGTCGCGGGATCGAACCCTGCCCTTGGCAGCCGCATTTTCAGTAGAGGCAAAAATGCTCAATGCTCGAGGCCCATATACTTTGATATAGGCGCACAATAGAGAACCCCACATGGTCCTAATTTCCAAAGCACACCACTATGACATCTCATAATGCGGTTTTGGGACATTAAGCCCCATCAATTATTATACATTCTTGAACAGACTGGACATGCCACATATAGTATGAAACGTAAACTTGTACCTTTTATCTGTTATACACATATATGTATAACAAAACCTTCCAAAATATGTTAATTTACGCTTAATGCTGTGGTGTGTCCATCTCGTCTAATTAGGTTACAGCAGGATTACTGAGAACTACTCGGATAAATTTACGGTGTTTATGGATGCCGTGTCTGTAAGCATGGCATCACCTAGAAATATCCCTGCAAGTACCAAAGTTAGTACAACTAGCACACCGCTGGAGGTTTCTAGATTGTGTTTTGGAATTTTTTAGTCGCCTATCATTGCATGAAGGTTTGGACGGGAAGGTGTTGAGATAAAAGATTTTGTTTTGTGCAGGCATTCCACCGCAGAGTGAGTGGAAATGCAGCCCAGATGCAGCCTACCTCTACTATTGTGACAATGAAACCATTCATGGTGGGTCTGCTTCTGTTTGCATTTTAAACTGTGCATGAAAATAAAAGAAAACCATTACAAAAGCCTTGTTTTTTTTTACTACAAGTCTGGCTTCATTAAGCTTCAGAGTCTATATGCATGTATAATACATAGATATGGAGTAAAATATTGTTACACGTCTACGAGAGGGGTTTATTCAGAGCCGACGTAACGTGTCGACTCGACGGTATACAGCAGTGAATGCGCAGCAGTGAGCTCTTGCCACCAACGAAACGTCCTCTTCTTCTGCCACCACCATGTTCCCCGCTACACAGGTGCACATACCTAAATTACACATGTGGTAACATTTCCCTCCGTGCAGACGAAGCCCACTGGGCGAGTCAAACAGTCTCTCGAGGAATAAAGCGCTTCAAACGTGCAACATGGACAAGTTCAGTTTTTGCAGACCGTTGGCCGTTTGAATGGAGACGCGCTATGTGGTAAACTAAATAACTGATACGGTCTACAACAAGATAAGGTCCCGCATAGTGCGCTAGCAGTTTCTCGCTCAAACCGCATTTTCTTGTTGGTGTCCACAGCAACACTAGGTCGCCGTGATTGTACGTCACATGTCGCATGTTCAATGCAGTTTTCTTGTTGGAGATTACTTGCGTGTCAATGTGCATTACCTGCGTTACTTTTGAGCATCTCTGAAATCTGCTTAGTCAGAAAATGTTCTACAACAGCTTAACTTGGAGGATATTCATCCCTGATACAGACCAGATACATAAAGATACATAAACGTGGTATAATCATATCATAAATGTGAGCTGTCCCAGAAATCGTCACAGATGTTATTTTTGTCATTGTGTTACCTCGGACAACATGAAATGTTTCATGTATTTAAAACTAACTTATAGTATCACACTTTCACGCTTTAAACCTTTCTTTTGGTAAAGAAAAAAAGCAATTTAGACAATACAAACATAGCAACAAGGTTATTTTCTCAATTTACACGAAGGTATTGCCTCCAAAGTCCAATAGTGATACTTAATCAAACAAACAAAAAAAATCATTTTACCACTTGTGACTTACTGACCGTTAATAACGTACACGAAAATATATGTCCATAATATATGTCCATAATATATGCCAAAATATATGCCAAAAGGATGCTATTAAAGGGCCAGTGAACAGGCTCAGACATTTTTTTCCACCCACCAGACAAGCTCACCAATTCATACCCTACACAGAAGTGAGCACATTAGTGAAATGTTAGTGCTGCACGTCGTGCAGACCCTCCATTTCAAAAAGCAGTTCCCACGCCTGACCAATCACACCCTCGTACGCGTAGTGACACAAGCATGCCCATGAGCCACTTGACGAACCGCTGAGTACGTCGATTGATTATTTGCCCCAGGAAACAGCATCTTGGCCCTGTGATGATGCAATTTTGGTCGCGCAGTCCACATTTTCATTTTCCTCTGCTGCCCTTTGCTATTTTGTAGAGCCCGAGACTACAGAGAGCAACATTATTGTCAGAAAAAAAGGCCTAAAGATAAAGAGGCATCTCTCTACTTAACAACTAGGAGAAGGGTGCTCTTCGCGCTACACTTCCTCTCTGCACCACTATGACGTGTGCTTATTTGGGGGAAGCCCTGCTTGGTCATAGGCTGTGGGCCAGGGATGTATCGCTGACATCATGTCACCTCGCCGAAGTGGGCGAAGTAGTGACGAAAGGCTACGCCTGCCCCTCCCTATGGCGAAAAAGGGTGGCAAGGCCGAGCGAAAATTTTAAACCAGCTAAAACGGATGTTCTAATCGGTGTACCGGTGTAATTTGCTTATTACAGCATGTATTTACAAAATTCTTGTGGCAGTATGTTGAGGTAACAAACGCGCACATATTTATCTTCATTGCAATTTTTGGACCTTGGGGTTGTTTATTGGCCCTTACATAGAAAAAAAAAAGTTGGTTGATGCACTGTGGCAATTGATTGCTGCTGTTTATGACAGAAAACAGTGTGTGCTATTGTTCGCTATTTTTTGTTAGTTTGTCAACGTGTGGGTTACTGACAAATACTTCTTTTTGTGTACATAACAGGTGTTGAGTTCAACTTCGTCCCCGACAGTGGGTCAGTGCCCTTGGTGTGTGACATGTCTTCGAACATATTGACAAGACCGGTTGATGTGTCAAAGGTGCGTGCGTGGCTTTGAAATTATTTGCAGCAAAGAAATGTAAGTTCATGAAAGCTGCAGTTAAATTCAGTGCAGAATGATAGTGGTTGTTTAGAAAATTATGCCAATTTCTGCAGCCAATAAAGAAGCGCGGTGCTGCGTACCCAGCCCCTTCGCCTTTGATACTGGGATAGAGGGCATGCGAATGTGGAATGATGAAAAAGTGGTACGGTGCCATCTTGTGTGTGGCCTTTTTTTGGCACTTCCATTTCTGCAGTTTATTGAATCGCCTTTGTTGATAAAATAACATAAGGGGGCTACTGTGATTGTGCACTGTTCACGGCGCTCTGCTATGTTGGGGTGCTAACACCCCCTGTAAAGTTCTTTGCGCCGCAGGGCGCAAGTGTCTCACACAGAAGCCGTATTTTTGGGGTCACAACTATTGAACAGCAGGTGGCGTTGTGTTCGCGAGCGTTGATCACCACTATCATCATCATGGTTAGATCGGTAGCGTCGGCAGTGGCCCCTGGCAGTAAGCCTTGGTGGTAGCAGGAGAGAATTGAGCGAGGCTTTTCTGCGGGTGGGCCGAGCGGTTGTCTCTCGTGCTGGGCCCGTGAGAACGGCACCGCGGATCGTTCCTGGCGGGCCCGCGGGTGAATCAAGATTTGGCAAAGCTGCCTTGAGTGTGTTCTTGTGTTTGTCATGTTGTTGAGTGTTGTGTAATATTGTGTAAGGCTGTTTTAGAGAGTTGATCCCAATTGATGTTATAATAACTCGACTGACGATCTCGTCGATCTAAAGCCGTTAAATAAATGTGTATTGTTTGGTTCGTTGCGGCCGCGTCTATTGTGTCCGTTCACACCAAGAGCGCGGTGCTCGCTCGCCATTTCGAGACCCCACAGCTACTGAACTGAAAGACGTGGGTTTGATGTTGGTTGCAGCACTTGCATTTTGATGGAGACAAAATGCTGAACACTCATGTACTGTGCAATATCACTGCACTAAAAAAACCCAGACAGTCGAAATTATGTGGGGCCCTTTGCTGTGACACGCCTCATAATATTGTGGATTTGGCACACAAACTTTGTAAAATGATTAAGGTGACATAAAAAGGAGTGGACAGCAGTGGAGGAGGGTACAGGGAACGGAAATTAGGTCACAAAGCGTAAGAGAGAGGTGCTTGTTGTCTACACCTGACTGGTTGGTTATAAAATACCCGACATCATGCTCAAGGTTCTTGGTGTGGTCAGCAAAGTGCCAACCCACCATGCGGTTTCAATTACTGTAGCAAAACAGAAGAAAAGTTGGAAAAGTGATATGGGGCTTGGCATCAACAAGGAGGAACGTCAACAATGAGGAGAGATATTGCAGCCAATGTTTACTGTAAAGTTGAAATATAGTAGACATCGGCAAATAGAACCTGTACTCATTCGTGAATGCAACGTGCTATGGGTTTTCTAACTAGTAGCCAAATTCAAGTGTTCAATGGCTTTATTTGTCATTGATTATGAAGTGAATTATTTATGTATAATTTACATGTATCAAGACAGTTACGGGCTACTTTTGGCTTTAGAATGCCATTGATGCCTGCAGAATAAGCTAATGGGAGATTAAGTATTGCTTCAAATAACAGTTTGTATCTATTGTTGATATGTGATACGCTGTTAAACTAGCCTTGAAGAGAGTATGAAATCATTGCCAAGCTTTTGTTTCCATGTGCTTTCGTTAGGTCCCCAGGTCTTTCGAGTGTCCGGAAATGAGTGTTGTGTTGCAACAGCTTGTTTATGATGACTAAATTTTTTGAGCTATGAGTACATATTTGACCCAGTGTTTGGGTTCCTTGTCTTACAGTACGGAGTCATCTTTGCGGGTGCCCAAAAAACCTTGGCATGGCTGGCGTCACTGTAGTCATTATCCGAGAAGACCTGATCAGCCCACCAGCAGTCCACTGCCCAAGCGTGCTCAGTTACAAGATCAACGCTGAGAACAAGTCCTTATACAACACGCCCCCCACATATGCGTGAGTATAATGAGTACATTGCAGCATACATAACCTTTTTGCAGCGAAAATTATGATCCAAGGCGTGAAAAGATCAGAACTACACGTTTGTATATGCTAAGTTGAGCACCTTGGGGAAGGTCGTGTTATAAGTGTTTTTTGCCACCAAGAACAGGGTTATGCCACATTGCACACTGTTAAGGTTCTCAGACATCATTGTAGATCAAGGTAAAATTAGCATATTTTCTTTCAATCAAATACTAAAGACTTTTTTCATTCCTTTTTTTCTCTTTCTTGCATAGGATAATTTCTTCATATGCCTGTAAACTTCTTAATATGTTGTCACTCAACGCTCCAACATTCTTGGCTATGTATCCCATCTCATATCCCAGCCAGTGAAGGATTTGGAGCAATTTTTTTAGCCAGAAAAAGCCTGTTTTAGAGTAGATTTAAAGGAGGAGAAACTGCATTTTAGAGCAGGTTTAGAGAAGACAAAACAGGATTTAGGATCACTTGCAACAGGACATGTCTAAATTTTCGCTGAATATTTCTATTAGTGTGCACACAGCAAACACTGCTGCAGTCAAAACAAGGTGACAAAGCCAGCAGTGAGAGAGCAGCCATTAATCAAGGTCTTAGCACAAACGAGTTTCACACCCTGGTTTCACAACACTGCACAAGATGTGTGCTTAAGTGAAGCATTAGTGATGTGGCAAGCGTACGCGTATGGTTTGTGCGATTGACAATTGTCTAAGGTCATTGCAAAAAGAATAAATCATAGCCAGAAAACCAGCAGTATAGCAATTGAAGAAAGAAGCCAAAGAAATTTGTTGAGACTCTCTTTGAAATAACCTGTAGATATAGTGCCTTTAATAATCGGCACAACTCACTAAGAATGACGTTCTATTGTACTAAAAAAACCTTTAGAGGCATCAATACTGAATGGCATTCTCGCCTTGAGTTTCGAAAACTTTGGTTTGAGCACTCACTTCTCGTATTCCAAATACTTAGAAAAAGTATTCTAAAAGAAGTGCAGCGGCACTTCAATTATACGCCCCCCCCCGGTTTCCTGATGACCTCCATTTTATGACGAATCGGTTTAGTCCCGGCAAAATCCCCATAGAAACAATGTATTAAAAACCTTGGTTATACGACACAGTTTTATGCTGACTCCGCATGTTACAATGACTTTCAGATTCTGTCGGAAAGAAACAAAGCACCTTTACTCAAATCACATCTGGACCAAATATTCACGAGCGTAAAATATGAACTTGCGTACTTCAAGGAGGAATACAGGAAAAGTAGTCATCTTCATTGAATGGAAAATTGATTCTTCCGGAAGTTTATGCACTTCTACATACGCCTCAATTGGGTGCATACGTATCTGGGATCGTTACCTAGTCAAGTTCTATCCACATAGAGTAGGTTCAACTGACCAAAAAACTGATATTTTCACATTTTTGGTCCGTGTAAACATTTCCTGGTCGACATACGGCTGATCCCCTGCCTCTGTCACACTCGCAGTCACTGGTTTGCGCACGCATAAGGACACGACGCAGCTGTTTTCAACTTGCAACATTACTTTCACTTGACGTCAATGTTCATAGCAACAGTAAGCAACACTAGGTGCACTTCATGAGGCAACAAATCACAAGGCGCACAGCTCAGTCACGCATGAACGCATCGTACATAAACTCATTGTCCGTCGCCATTATGCGAAAGCGATGGCACTGCGTCTGACTATATTGATAGAAGGCTCACGGCAACACTGTTTCGGTTTCATTTTCAGGCGCAGGTAATTTGGTACTTTATTTATCGATAGAAAGATGTGCATTGGATTTGATTGTTTTTAAGGCTGAAAATAAAGATTCGCTCAGACCTCCTTCAACTAATTATTGCTGCCATTAGCTACCACTGACAATAATGATTCAATCTACTCTATTTGCAGAGGCTTATTCAGGCAGTTTGTACCCGTTTTTCGGGCAAGGCTGAGTGTTGTGATTTATAATCTTAGTTTTTCGATTATACGACGCCTGGGTTATACGAAGGTTTTGCATGGTCCCCTAAAGGTTGTATAATCGGGGTTCCACTGCAATACTGGTACAATATAAACTCTCACAAATGGGTAGGGGTCAGTGGTTAATCCAGGCATAAAGGGGAGGGATTCTCCTCTACAAGGCAGCCTTGAAGAAGACAAGTATGCTCGTTGAAACATTGCCTTCTGCTGCAACGCTTCATGTTAACGCATTTTTTGCTTTAATGAGCTCGCAAAGTGTGATTGGTGGTTATGAGTGCCTGTGTGAATCACACAGTTGTGGAATTACTCTGGCATTCCGCAAACAGGCCAGATGATAGAGGAAAGCTGGTTATTCCTGCCGGTAAACACGTGCGAGTGGGACCAATGAACACGACTGAAACAGAGGTCCAATGAGCCAGCCAATCTCCGAGCTCAGAGCAATCTCCAATTGCTAAGAGGGCACATGTGATAAAATCTGCCCGCGTGTTAGACCGGTTTTCGAATGCTCAAGCAGAGAGGGAATGCACCACCTGTATTTAATGAAGTAGAAACGGTGTGGAGAGGGCACGAACTCGAGCAGCAACTGTGAACTTTGATTCTAAAGGCATGGTCGCGATGGCTGGCGCATGCGCTATCTTTACAGGCATCAGCCTGTCTTCGCTCTCAACGCGAAGATATTTTGCTAAATTGGTATCTCACCATAGAACGACTGTATTCTCTTACATTAGGGCATTCTGGAGTTAAGCGATATCAGATCCAAAAGAGCTACCTGTCAGCTTTTCTTTGTATAGCATTACAATTTGTTTTTACTGCATTCATTGCTTGCCCTCGCGGTGAAACTGTTTTTTTCTTTTCGATTGACTGCAACATTGAATGTATTAACTGCATTCAGGGTGCGCATGAGGGCACGTGTTATTTATCTGTGGCTGACCACACAGCCCAGTGCCTACGTTGGTGTGCCATAGAGTTATATTAGTTTCGGATTCGAGACGCACGACGAGCACTTCGACGGGTGCGAGCAGCAGTTGCACCACATCGTAAGAGACGTACTCTACGTGGGTCTTTAGGCTTAGCGCGATTAGGAGGCATTGACATCTTTTTTATGCAAAACATTGAATAAACTTTCGCACAACCGAATTTTCATTCACGTTAAGACGCCATTTACAGCGTGCAGTGCCGACAGCAGTTGCCACTTGGCCGCGATGGCTACATTATGGTACGCAGAGTGACTCACGAATTTAAAAAATCACTTTTATAAATGTTATCGTCAGTTTCCTATCAAGTGAGAGAGACTATCAACTGCATGTTAAACTTTAAACAATGAAGACTCATGTGGTGGCACCAAGATTTTGGTTAGGTTGAATATAATTACAAAAAGCGCATTACTGGAATGGATTGAGTAATACCTGTGTCACACGGGCGCGCAAAAGTCTTTTAAGTAAGCGGTCTTTTACGAAGTTGAAAGACTTTTAACAAAGAGCGCAGACACACGGCAGCAACGATCTCCTTTTAGTGTTTTCGTTCGAAGACGCTAGCGAAAGCGTGGCGCTAGCAGTTAAAAGAGAAGCAATGAAAATTAAACGATGTATCACGATGTACAAATTAAAGACTTGTTGCACAGCTTGTTTCTTCAAATAAATTTAAGAATAAGAGATGAAGAAACACCAATGTGAAAGTTTGTTGCACTAGTTAAGGAAGCATTCCCATAACTAGCGACGTGCACAAGTCCGTCTAGCACCACTGGGTTTTTATTTACCGTATTTGTTTTTCGCTGCTCTCGACACGTTATGGGCGACCGTATGGAAGAAAAAGCGAGGATCGCAAGCCTCACGGCCTGCCTTCTCGCTCTGGAAAGCAAGGCAGACGTTGCAAAAGCCGCCAAGGAGAGCATCAAGCAGCAACTGCTGTTCAGCAATTCCTTGCTGTGCGCACTGGAGCTGTCGGAGAAGGCCTGCGATCGATCGATCTGGGCCTTCAGACGAAACGAGAGGTGGTTCGAGGGAACTGTACCTCACCTCGGTGAGCAGAACTTCAAGCAATCTTTTCAAGTGTACCTGTCCACCTTTCGTTTCATTGTGGAGAGCTTGCGCAGTGAGCTCGATAGACAGTGCACCAGCATGCGTGGAACCATCACTCCTGAGAAGCGAGTCGGCATTGCCTTATACAAGCTTGACCACTTGAATGACGGGCAAACACATGACTGCCACGCTTTCCTCGTTTGTGGAAAATGGCGCGGCGTGAGACCGAGCGTCACCACGTGATATTGCCGACGCGTTGTAGCTGCTTACGAGAGTAGAAAAGGAAATAACCATTAAAAGAGTTCATTACACCTTCTGCAGAATATGAAATTTGTTTTTACAAAGAGTTTTGGTGACAGAAAAATAAGCATTCGCTCTTTTTTTCCCATCACTCGAAAATTGCTGGTGCCCACTGGTTTCGAGGCTACTCATTTGAAGCCGTAAAAGAGATCGACGAACTCAGTTTACGAAAAAGACCGCTTCTGAAAAGGAGTTCGCTCTGTGCCGTGTGTCTGCTGTCGGGAACTCCTTTTCGGAAAAAGACCGCTTACTTAAAAGACTTTTAAGTGCCCGTGTGACAGGGGTATAAAGGGTTTTGGTGGCATCATCGAAAAGCTTCAGTCATTTTTGTTGCGGCCAAGACTATTTTTGTCCATTATTGATCCGCTGCCATGTAAACTGGCGGACTAGTGAACTTCGGCACAGTTGGCGCAAGCTGTACTTGAATGTGCGCTGCTAGGCACAGAAATATGGAATTCTTGCAAAATTTGGTGCAGTTGGACCACCACTGCATACATGATTTGTTTGAACTGCTTCATTAAGATGACAAGCTGAGTTTATTCATACTATGAATCGAAGAAGGGCTTTCTTGCAACAGAGAGTCAAGTTTGAGTTTGTTAAAATATTTTGTGATATTACTGCGTGTAAAAGTTGGGTATCACGGTACTTGCTTTTTGGTCATTCATACGCAGCATCTACATCCTGGGCTTGGTTCTCAAGTGGATCAAGCGCAATGGCGGAGTGGGAGGCATGGCAAAGCGATCGGCAGAAAAGTCCAGGCTTATTTATGAACTGTTTGACAAGTCTAATGGCTTCTACGTGTATGTATTTCATTTCAAAATTTTTTTTTTCAGTCACTTTTACATGCTTTACTGCCTTGATGCCAATTTAAAGTCGTGAAGTATTTGTATTCACGTGCTGATAGCATGAAGTTACGAAGGCAACTTGCAGAAATTTCTTGGAAACAAAGCTTTCCAGTTGACCAGGAAAAATTACCTTGATCTGAAGTTTGAAACTGGAATCGGTGCGTTTTTTCTGGAGCAAATGCTATTCTAGCAGGTCACAGAGTGAGGGCAAGTTAATTAGGAAATTGAAGCACAGATATGCTGACAATGGTTCAGAGGATGCCTGCATAATGAAAGGTACACCTGCAAGCTACCACATCAATGAAAAGTTTCTAAGTTCAAATCACAGACCAGGATTGAGCTTTTCATTGTCAGGGAAGCTCTTCCAATGCGAAAGAACTTGGATCTGTACTTGTACGATACCTACCTGTGTATGCAAACTTTTGGAAAAGAGATGGTGCTAAGTTATAATAATAATAATAATAATAATAATAATAATAATAATAATAATAATATAAGAGCTAGGTAATACAATATAAGAGCTGTGGGTAGCGTGAGCACATTCAGGCAAACGGCACTACATTTTACATTGAAATTTTACTACCATGACAGCCCATTGATGGTAACTTTGCACGGATGCTTTTGTTTGTACTGCATTTATTGTAATCGAGCGGTCGAACAAGAGATATCTTGAGCTGGAGTCTAAAACATCCTTTGTTTGACCACTAGTGATTATGTTTCTACATTTTGCTGTTATGATGCCGTGTTTCATTTATCTGCAATTAAGCTGTGAGAGTGCAAGGTTTCACTGCAGGCTGCTTCTCTTGCAGCTTAAACTTTGTGATGAACTATTGACACTGCTTGGTTTCTTTTGTGCTACAGGTGCAACGTGGATCGTGCGCATCGAAGTCGTGTTAACATTCCATTCCGAATAGGGGGAACTCAAGGGGACGAGGAGCTTGAAAAACTCTTCCTCAAGGAGGCTGCCAAGAGAAACATGATTCAACTGAAGGGACACAGGTAAGAGTGTGCTAGTAATTGGAATTTTACGGCCATTCTTTCATGTTTTCTCTTCAGTTTAGACCCTTCCCTGAAGTGGAGGAACTATACTCCAATACAGCTTTAGTAGTTCACAGCATTGTCTCCTGCATGCACAAAGGCGTGCAAAAATGGGCACGCACTTTTGACTGATGTCATGAACTGGATGTCCGGTGACTCCGCCCTCTACGAACACTGCCGAGTGAACGAGCGAGACTTATCGTTTTACTGCGAAGGGGATTGGCGGTCGTGCTTCAGTCATGGGGGTGGGGCTTCTCCGGACTTCTTAAGTTGCATCCAATTATAATTGTTAGGTATATCTGATGTAATATCACAGAAAGAAAAAAAGCTTTCAGAACCATCTGGATTCTCATGATATTTGAAGGAATCTATCTGGCTATCCATAATATGGACCACTGAAGATAATAAAAGATGGAAGTCTCAGGTTGACCATGAAGGCATCAGTTTTTCTACATATTTTAGGAAACTCTCCTAATTGTCACCTTTGGCACATTGGAGCTCTAATCACAACTTACACATCTGTGTCAGAAACCGGCTACATGTTAAGGAATCGGTATTTATTTATTTATTATTATTATTTTTTAATGCTATGCCTGCTAGTGCAGCTTCATGTGGTGGCCACATGAAAACACTGTTCATAGTATACATACCTCGATAGAAAACTTGGTTTCGTAGAAGCGGGTTTTTTCACATTGCGAATTCCAGGAAAGAAAAGGGGCACTGAATTTGAAACAGTCATGTATAGGTGGATTTAAACTACAAAGTCACGTTTCATATCAACGGTTATCAAGCATGATGTGAGGAAATGAAGAACAAGTAAATATACACATTGTTTTGCACTATATTTTGTAAAAAACCGCCAGGTCTGCGCGGAACGCGCAGCACTGTCGCAGCAAAAGGTAAAGGAGCAGCCTTTCACAGCCTTTTTTAAACACTCTTAGGGTAATTCTACAAGAACACTTGCAGGGTAACCACTATGCCATAAATCATGCGTAATTTTTGTGTAGTAGGGAGGTATTCACGATGCCATCCTTTGTCATTCTTCAGAGAAGTATGATACCTGCAACACACTTGCAATGCAGTTTGTACAGTTTTTTCCTTTTATTCTGTGGCTGACGGTGATGAAAAATTATGCCTGAAGCTTTTGTAATGGGTTGGAGCATTCGACAACCCACTTGTTACGCGATTGGCATTGCGTGACACCTGACTGTTCCTTTCTTATTCTAAAAGGCTTTATTACTAATATTAACGCGATTCCTTTCCCGACATTACGCCTGCCTAAGGCCAGGGTTCGAATCCCATTGTCTCCTTAATGCTTTTTATTTACTACTTAGCCTTTTTTTCTTATTTTCCGCGACAGTGGTTACGAACACCAGTGCCGGCGGACAACTACGGCGCATGAGACCCTTGTTGTCATCTCATAACAGCTTTCACTGTAAAGAGGCCAGGTATCACACCGCTTTTGGAAGAACATGGGGGGTGGTGCTGTCGCTACAGTTTTCGTATTCCAAAAAAAAAAATCTTAACGCCCTAGGTACAGTTATGTAACATAATATATGCTTTTTCTAGCATATAATATGGGCTTCAAGACTAGCCATTGTGCGTGCTAGCTCTTTAGTTGTAGTGGCAGTTTGCTAATGCTTGAAAAACTTTAAAAATGTCCTAATTGTGTTGACCAGCAGCATGGAGTGGCTATGCCTTTCGATGCTTGCAGGCAGTACCTGAAATTACAGGAGAAAAGGCCTCAGTAAGGCTGTACACAGGGGCCAAAGCTACACTCTGAACCTTGCACTGTCCAGTCCTAAGCTTGTTAGCACGTAGGCCTGCACAAAACGTTCTCAACCTTAGTCTGTGTCATTCCTTCACTACCTGATACACTTGGCGACAATTTATCTTGGCAGTGGAGTGAAGGCCTAAAGAGAACGAGGGCTTCGACAATTCGATGTTGCTCTACTAGTATGGCAGTTTGCGGCAGATGTTGGTTTTGCTCACTTGAATTGTTAACGCTTTAATAAAACATATTGTACAAGAATAATGTAAATGGGAGACACATTTTGATAGTTGATTGTACATTTTAGTGTCGTATTAGTATGAGTATGTTTTTCTTGGAGAACTGAGCCACGCATTTGTGGCCGCACACTGACCCAGCCATGTCAGGAATGTTTATTTTGGAAAGCCGGTGTGCTAAAAAGGTGGTGTTGTCTGAGAAATGGAAGAAAAGGCATTCTCGCAGCGTGAGAATTAACTGTGATGTTTTGCTTATGATTTTTGACAATTGTTCAAGTCTCATAATGAATAAAGCAGTATTTACTCCATCAAGGCAAATGGGAAAATTATGAGTGAACTTGAATAGTATTATTTTTGGCTTGGTAGCAGGCATACATTTCATTTCGGCAGCTTCTACAGTACTGCCAAGAAAAGTTGTCGCCGAGTATAGTAACTCTGAAAATCACTTAGAGGAGGTTCCTGATGTACTCCAGATGTTTGTCGCAGAAAGTGCAATAGGGATGATAACAGCATTTTTTGTTGCCTGTTAGCATCACTAATGCATCTGGATGAGGAGCGACTTCAACAATGGGCTTTTGCAAACTATCAGTTCCTATAACAGAGTTGTCAAAAGCTGGTACTATCACTTGGAAGGCACCACTTTCCCAGCAGTTGATCACAGTTTATGGTTAGGGTTACGTCACGTGTTATTTATTGCATGTCAGGGAAAAAGCAAAAGAGCAACCGCATTGGATGAGACAAAGTTTTTTATGTTTTAGCAATGACAGGTATAAAAAATCTGGGAACATGTTGCTGCCATGTTAGACCGTCACCTCTCATGCACTGCTGAGTTACTGAGAAGCAGAGTGTGCACAGGTCCTTGAAAACCTTTGAAATTGAAAATTTCGTTTTCAAGGCCCTGAAAGTCCTGGAATTTCATTTCAGTCCTTGAAAACCCTTGAATATTGGGAATTTTCACAGAGTTCAATTTTACGACTCAAAATTCACGGCAGTTGAGTGTAATACTGGGAAAACTTCATTGCTTATCGTGTTTTGTGACAATGCGATTTCGAAATCGGGCACGGTCAAATAGCCTGTATTATATTGGAGAGATTGAGGTATACGTGCTTGGTTCGGCTTCGGTTGGCCATAAGCCACAAGCTTATGCCACAATGAGGCTACAGCATCTTGAGCTCTCTAGAAATTAGAAAAGTTGTGCGAATGTGCTTATTGCAGTTACTGTTAGTGTTTAAAATGTGTTATTTTTGCTTCACATTTAGTGGTACCCTTAGCAAGCCGCTAATAAAAAAAACATACATCACACTCACTAGCATCAGCTGTTAGCCTAATGCAGTTCATCAGCCTGCAAAAGACTGTGAAGGTCAAGACTGATGAACTATCATTGATCAGCATTAAGACGCAAATAGAAAAAAAAAGACGGAAAGACCATGCTCTGAGCTCATAACTTATAGTCTAGTGAAACTGTGCAACAAGCGAACTAAACGTCATTTGTTTTGTGCAATAAAATTTGTCGTGAACTACAATCGTGCTCCTAAATTAAAATTTCTTGAAAGGTCCTTGAAAAGTCCTTGGATTTTCTTTTTCTCTGAAACCTGTATGAACTCGGGGAAAAAATCGTTTAAAAAATTGCAGGCTTCAGTTCACCACATCACAAAACTTGTCTGCAATGATGTTGCATTAGCTCCCATGCATTTCAAAGCAGATGTGAAGGCATTGCCGACATCATAAAGGGGCTTGATTTGTCGACCTACCTCAGTTCTACAAATCTATAAGCATTTACTGATAACATCTGCTAGAAAGCTAAATCCATTCTGTGTTTGAGACAGCTGTACCTTGATTATTTAGTTGTGCCTTTTACGCTCTTATATGTAACCGCACGCATAATCTTGACACATTTGCAGTGTTTCTAACTGTTGCATCCATTTTTCATTCCAGATCAGTTGGTGGCATTCGGGCGTCCGTGTTTAATGCCATGAGCGTGGAAGCGCTTACACTGTTCTTGGAGTTCTCGAGAGAGTTCGAAAAGGAGCACCACAAGTAGCCTTCGCATTCCACCCATTTCATAGAATACACCCGACAGTGGAGTCACATTGCCCAGACTATTTTTAGAGTGGCTGCCAGTGACTATTGCTTTGAGCCCTCATGACACAGCTGCACACAACATGTATTCCTGCTGCATGCATTTTACAGTTTATGCAGACCAAAAGTTTATTAAACAGTGCCTTGAACTTGTCTGCCATAGTGACCTTTAAGCACTTCACTCTATTTCATCTCCTACAACATGAAGTACATGTGAAGGTCTTTTCCTGTAACAGTTTTCTCAGTGCATTTCTATGAATTAGCAATAAGTGAATAAATTTTTCCCTGCTCAATTTTAAGACCACTGTTTTTCAAGCTACAGATAGTACAACACTTTTTCTCTGGTGCTCCTGCAGACAACCAAGCATGTTGAATGTTGTTTTTTTTTCTCACTTCTAAATGTACAATACATATAGTAGACAGACATTTGACTCTGCATTCAGGAATGCTGGAGCCAAAAATTCAAAATAAACCATCGATCTATTGTAAAATTAAGATACGGGTGATCTTCTGGCCCATCACGCACTTCATTATGGTTAACACAGCTCCAGCGTTACCCTGTTATGATGCTTTATCTATTCTAATCAAAAGGCTCGACTGGAAGCATTTCCAAAGCCCCAAAATGCTTCCTTGATGCCAAAAACTGAGTCATAGTGGGTTTTTGGTGACTCGGTTGGTTCACTTCATTTTCGTCTAATTTCATGATGGCAATGCTGTCCTCGATTTGATAAATATCTAAACAAACTTGTCATTATTCACTGTACATGTGGAACATAAAAATGAACTGTGAATATCATGAAACAATACATATGGTTTGCCTATATATGTCTGTACAGGTACCAAGAGTGCAAAAGTTTAATGTGTTGCTAGACGAAAGCCACTACCCATACCAGCTTTCAAAAAACTCAAATGTTCCACTCATGCTAAATAAGTTGGACCTTTGAAATTGGTTTTCCCATTTAGAAATTTTCGAGAATTTGCAAGAGCTGCTGTACCAACCTCGTATTTCGATAATGCATTTTTTGTGTGCCAAATAACTCCCCAGATTTATTAAAAAACAGATGGGAGAAGTTCTAGTATTATTGAGGTGTCATGCTAAATGTGAAATGGTTTCTTTGCGATCTATAGATTTTTGCTCAAGCAGTGAATAAGGTTTTAGGGGCGAAGCACCTCTCAGTCTAACCTTGTCATGCTGCACGCATAACCGAGAGAAGAGACGAGAAAGAAAAAAGGCAGTATCTCCCGAAAAGCATAATAGACGGCTCTGTCTCATAAAAGTACATGCAAACTGCATTTGAGTGAGAATAATCTACATGGCGCTATACCGCTACTCCTCTCAGATGGGCAGATGTGCGGGCTGTGCTTGGGTACGCGGAGAACGAATACCTGCCTCAGTTTCCTAGATAGTTGCCATATGCTGCGAATCGTTGGTGAGGCATGGATAAAGCAAAGCGGCGGGCGCATTGAAGACACACTAGACTTCCTTGGCTCATGCCTCCTCGATGTTACCTGAGCGCTGTCTGCATTCTCGAACATATCGCAATGTGAAAAAAAAAAAAAAAAGTTTAGAATGTTGTAGTCTGCTCAACTGCTAAGTAAGAAAGGCAACAAGTCGTGCCGCACAGACTGGCTAGAGGGGCTGTTCCAATTTGTTACTATGTGTAAGCAACTTCAGCAAACTGCTTTGCAAAACCAGTATTTCAATAATTCAGCTTTGAATGTGGCTTTGACTGATTAGTGGATGCTGATGATATGAGGGGTTTAACAACCCAAAACCACCATATGATTATGAGAGACACCGTAGTGGAGGGCTCCGGAAATTTCAACCACCTGGGGTTCTTTAACGTGTACCCAAATCTGAGCACACGGGCCTACAACATTTCCTCCTCCACCGGAAATGCAGCCGGGATTCGATCCCGCGACCTGCGGGTCGGCAGCCGAGTACCTTAGCCACTAGACCACTGCGGCGGGGCTGATTAGTGGATGTTACTTTGGCTTCCTAGTTTATATACTGCTCTGTGAAAAGCAGTTTTGTAGTTCACTAAATGCTGCTCTCGCAAGTTCAAACTGTTCGTCACATCATAAAGCTGCCACAAAGAAAGCTGTAGGAGGCTCAACTTCTCAGTGCCTCTCGGCATTAATCTTCCCAGTGCATATCTTTAGTAACAAATGTAACCGATTAAATCCTTTAGAATGACAGTAAATGCAACACTGAATTATATGCTTGCTTTAGGGATAAGTTAATTCCAGTAAACACGCAAGCATTTCAAAACAAGTAACACCAGTAGCAGCTAAACTGTGCAATGTTAACAATGCTCTAGCCACTTCAAAAGCTTTCAAGTTGATCCAAGCCCATTCGAGGTCTGAGTTTGAACAAGCTTGACCTAAATAAATACGTATAATTGATGCATAAGTTGTCACTATAAAGAAACTAAAATGGTGTACACCTAACCAAGTCCTCAAGCAGTGGCAGATAACAAAAAGAAATTCACATCCTGTAGAAGCACCTGAAAAAAAAAATGAGCAATACAATATTCAATGCAGTCTAGTGTGCAGCATATCTAGTCAGTGCAGCTAACTACCACTGAACGCCCACCCTGCTATGGCAGTGGAGCCTGATCCAATTTATTATAGTAACTTCTTGAAAAATCATGGTGGCCTGCTTAATCGTTGGGACAGCACAGAATATACAGAAAATTAGTGTGAAAATAATTCTCATGCAACTCATTTGTGGCAGAAAAGAAAAGGTTTTTACTGACAAAATGCAAGCACATGTTCCATTTAAATAACATGGCTGATTGATGATCCCCCCCACCAGGCATGTAGTAGTTTATTCCACCACCACCTTGCATGCAATAACGAACCTGCACAATTAGTAAGCATCGACTACCCTGTTAATGAAGCAAACGGTAAGCAGATTTTTAAACTTTGGATACGTTACTAACTTTTGGTAATTGCGCTGCATCTCTGCACTAAATAATTGTCGAGTACCTTACATTGCACTTTCAGAAAGACGTACCTTGATGTGCACACATGTGTCATTAACATCACTGTAATAGTTGCATGGATATGGTAGATTACGGTACTTTCCTTAACATGGTTAAAAATCTGCTTCCCAGAAAGAGAATAAAGTGCTATTTTGGCTCAAACACCCAGTCATGAATGGGCAGTTAGATGTAAAGAGAAAGCATTGATGCATTGCAAGGTAACAGGGGACACAATGGGCAATTAGGAGCAACCTAGAAATATAACACTCATTCAGACAAAATAGAAAATATATATATATCATGAACAACAAACTGTAATGCAGGATTATATAGGACAAAGACCTAGTGCTTCCTGCAGAAAGATCACTGCTACACCCTTTCTCTGAGATCGACTTTCTTGTTCCGTCTGCATCACTGCAATAAGCCGACTAGCTGCGGAAGTTCTCGCTTCTAACTAAAACTAAGAACAGCAACTAAAGAGAAATTCAAAATGCGCCCTTTGCCTTTAGCACTTCGTCCAGAGCATCCTCCATCGGTTTGTTGGTGCCCCGGAGTCCATGCACAACTTTCTCGGCCCACTCGAAATATTCCTGCACTCTGGTGCGGCTCCAGCCTACTGGCGTGCACCGTTGGAGGTCTCGCAAGTTGTACAGTTTGTCGGCGAGCTTCACAAGTTTCGCCTCTCGGCTGCAGCCGGGCGCAGTGTTCGATCTGCAGCTGTTTGCGGACTTGTTTCGGCAGGCTCTTGTCATCCGTCACTTCCTCCACAATGGAGCGCACTTTGCTGCCAAAGTGTCGCTCTATCTCCTCAAATGTGGTATCTGTGTCTTCAACCGTGTCGTGCAAGATCGCAGCCTAGTAAGGTGAGGGAGCAAAGAAGTAATGTAGCAGGGTCGACTATGTTAAATAGCTCAGCAGCAAAAAATGTTGCTGGAGCACCTAATAGCCAAGATAACATTGCTGCAATAATGTTCAACTGTTGCTTAGACTACTGTTTAATTACAGTAAAGCACTCATCATAGCAGAAAACAGAAGTGAAAGTAACCAGCCTAGGTGCGCAGAGCTATAGCTTCAGTGTGAGATGAATTATCAACTAAGTCGACAGAAGGACACCATAACACAACTTCATATTTAGCAATTTAGGATACTAGACATCTTACACATGTAGAGATATTCACTACAATAAATATGTTGAATCGAGTGACTTGCGCATTTCGTTCGTGCTTCCATGCAAGTCATTTTATAGCAGCAAAATTTTTTTTAATCACGCTCTACACACTTTTGAATAACTATACTCGCAAACAACTTTTCTTGGCAATAAAGGAAAAGCTACAGGGGAGGAGCTAGTGCACATGTACTCCCCCTCGAAGTAGTCCGGTTCAGCTCATGTTTTGAATATATGACTGTGTTAGAATAATACCATCGCATACAATTTACTATTTCCGCTTAGGACAGCCCTTTGTGAGTGAAATTTGTCACCAGCTCCTTGGGCTTGTCATCAAAATAGCAGGAGGACAATGCGTGCTCACCTAACAACGAAGATGCCATTTTGACTGTGAGACATTTTATGGCAGTGGAGTAGTACACAATACACTGATGCAATTTAGCTTTGTATCCCCAAAATGAAAACAGGGTCTGTTTATTTATTTATTATATGAGGCTTTACAGAGGGAAGGGTGTAATCAATAAACGTTTTAAAGTGTAAAAGCTGATAATGGTTTTATCATACAAGATGATCCAACTAAGTTTTACCAAATCTCTACTTTCATTAGCTGTCCTCATCTGTACGGTACAAACTTTCGGTAAAAAAGCAAACTGTATGTTCAAACCGATGAGGAACACAGTGAAGATGAATATATGACACTGAAATAATTCCTATGAGTGTGTCTCAAAAAAAAAAAAAAAAAATCGAGACATTAGCAACATTCGGGGATAGCTGACTGTTTGACACCAAAGAGTGAACAGCAGCATGCAACATAGTGTGTAAAGACGTAAATGTACTATTAGGGCAATTAACTATGAACACAGGCATTATATTGGTAGCGCTTCTTTTCTGAACAGGCCCTCTGCTATTCTTTTACAACATGAGGCTCAATCAACTCGCCAGTCGTTTGGATGGTTCACAGTGGAGGAGATGTGCAAACTGCTACAAGTCTTAGGGATGTTTCAGCTGTCCACATAAGTTGCAAAGTAGAAAACTCATTGCTAATTCTATTCGTCTGTAGCACCTGCAGATGGTACAGCAATGTTCATGATGCTTTCTTAGCTTGCCAAGGAATCTACTGGAGAAGTAAACAATGGTGTAATTACTCTGTCTGGAACCCAGAGATTTTAAAGATAGTCAAGTAAAAGAAAAAACTTGTCAGCAAAAAATGTATATTCTGTAAAGAGAGAACCGAAAGATAGGAAAAAGCGAGGATGGGGCGCCAGACGGGCTATATTTCTAGAGCTAATGCATTGGTACTAGTATTAAATTTGTCATGATATAGCCCAGCAAATTGTTCTTCCACAAACTTTACTTGAAATTGCATGCTGATGCCAAGGAAGATATGGGCAGCACTAACAGTGCCACTGCCAGCCAAATCAATTCAGTAAGACAATGATTTCTTTCATAGTGCCATGGTTCTGCATTTCAATTAAGTTGCATGAAAGACGGTGTTTAGAAGTACATGGAAAACCTTTAGAAATAGAACGACCTAGGTTTGCTTCTGCTAAAGGTCATACGTGTTTCTACTTAAGTGAACTTGTTAGCTAAAATAGCAATACACCACAAGACACAGTGGAGAATGTAATTTTCTAATCTTAAAGAAAGCAACATGACAATGGCTTATTTTTCCGAACTTTAAACATTCCGTATAAGTAATATGCAGAAACTAATTATAAAATTATAATGACTTTTAATATTGCTCCACACCATCTGCTAGGTCATTCGTGTTTAATCATTAGAAAAATGATTTCGTACCATGTGATTCGCAATAAAGTTCCACCTCCTAGCTTCAGTAAATAAGTGTGTATACCTTACATTACACGATACTTCATACAATGTATCCTAATACAGATACAAGATATACCCAAAGAGCGTATAATAAGATGTCTGCCTCTTAAGACAGCCCAGCCTCATCATTTAGTTAGACAGCTGACCATGGAGGAAGGAAACAGCTGCAAACAAACGCGCCGTCTGGCCATGCCCTCTCCCCTCATCCCTTCCTCCGTGCAGCTGACAAACAAGTGACGAATAATCGCTAATTCACGAATGACTGCCACCTACCTGCAACGTTGCAATATCGTAGATGTTCGCTTCGTGAGTAAGAATTCTGGCTACACCTGTACAGAAAGCAGGGGGAACGCATCACCGATAACGTTACCTGAAACTTGCAAGTCTCTGAAGTTTACAGGACCGGTGTTCACACTACACTCACCAATCGGATGATTGATGTAAGGGGTTGCGTCTTCGTCTTTCCTGCGCTGTCTCCTGTGCTTTGTAGCAGCAAAGTTAACGGTTTCAATCAGTGTCCTTGCTATCTCTTCCTCCATTGTGTGTCCGTGTCCAGCACTCGCACACCGCTGAAAGAACGTCGTATCTGTCGAGTCAGTGCCGCTTTTCCTCATTACACTGCATGCTTGCCCTTTGTATGAACTGCAGCTTGACGTCTACGCACCACCCTCAACAAAGCAACACTCGTGTCTTTCCAAACTTCGCCCCTGACAACCGATCGAAAGAAGCTCGGGCAAGTTCGCTCGCGTACGATACGCCACAGAACACTCACGACACGCTCGCTCGCCCGCTTGCGCGCGGCGCGCGTCGCTTCGCCGCCCGTCACACTTCCGGTGATGCCGCTAGCGTCGCGAATAGTCGCAACAAGAAGTGTGGCAGCTTGGGCTAGTTGGTATGGCATGACTATAGTTATGCCATACCAACTAGTGTCTTTCGTGTCCTTCTTGTCTCTGTGTCGTCGTTGTGTTCTCGCGCTATCATTATCGTCATAGTCGCAACAAGCCACAAGCATCCGTCGCGTTGCCAGAACGCATTTGAACCACTTGGGCAGCTACTTGAGATGTTCTTTAGTCGTTTAAAAACCTTAGATGCTTCGCCAAACGTGGATCCCCCGTAGGCGGAGCCTGCACAAGTGATGCAATAAATCACGGAGGAAGGAAATCATCATGCCACGACGTCACAGATTGAAAATATTTGCGACGTCATCATGACGTCCCTGTGATGTCACATAATTAGGCATCATCACAGTATATCATTCATTACTTGTGGTCGCTCCCAAAGGCAGTGCAAAACGTCATTTACAGTACGATCTCACCTTGGAGGCACTGTGACTGCTGCTTCAAGCTTGAATGCCTCCTACGTCCCAGTCCTCTGGCTTCTTCACCTTCTTCAACAACCCTTGACAATATCTTTTTTTTTTTTTAAGGTGGGGTCAATATAGAATCTCGCGGGAGGTTGAACATCGGATAGCACTTGTGTGCTCGCTACGATGCTTCGGCAGAGTTTAGAAATATGTCACCCATGCATTAATTAGAATACTAGTCTTTGACTAGCCGTCATGATACATCAGAATTGTAGACGCAATGTTAATGAAACCTAACAGACAATCATGCCAAGGTGAGAATTAGAAGTAGATCTATGGTGAGATCTATAGTGGGACCTAAAGCGGGAACTGGGGACACTGAGACACTGAACTAACACTTTAAAATCAAAATATGATACTGGCCAAGCATGTACTGAAGCAGAAAGAGAGACACGTAGGGGTATGCTCTTGATGATGTATACTTTTTTTGCACTCAGTTTATTCATTATGGGCAGTAACAGCACTTGTTTGTGTCTCTTCTCTTCGTCCAATGAGTTTGTACGCTGTTACTGCCCATATGGTATCACCAACTAGCCCAACTATCAGTCCTGCTTCAGTTTATTCAGTTGCTTTTCCTTCTTTGACTGCATAGTTATGCAGCAAACAAATTTGTCAACTAGTTCATTCGGTGAAGTAGTTAAAATAGAGATGCATATCAGCCATGTGCATATATGTACCTTTAAGTGAACGTATGTGTGCCAAGTTTCGAACATTTATACTGTGGTGCTTGTGGAAGACAGTTCGATTTCGTGGGGCTAAAAGAAATGAAGGTCGTGCTGTGATGGTGGCATCCACTGAGAAGAAACAAAAGCAGGCAAGCACGTCCAATCGCAAATGATTCAGGCTTCTCAATAAGCGACAAAACTTTGGTTTGGTTTGCTAGCCCCATAGTGCTATTCGATCTAGTAGTATTTTAAAATTTACAGGCAGTGCTGTCCACGAGCTTATTCTTCTTAAATTTGTCTCAATTTTAAAAAGTTTAGAAATGTAGGGTACTGTTGCGAGCACTATGCATTGTTAATTTTTTTCACTATAAGTTTCAATAATATTCACTGGAATTATGTTTCATGATCATCAAATTGTATAAGTGTATCACTCATTTCATCTCCAAAGCATGAACAATAACCCTTAGTGAGAGTAGTGTTATCATTCATGAAAGCCATAACTGCGACCATGCAGGGCATGTTCCTATTCGTCTCTGTGATCATTGACCATTTTTTGCTACATTAGTCACAGAGGTTTAACATGCAGTGATCCAGAGTGTAGCAATGTAGAAATACAATTTCTGCATACTTGCATCATTTGTTTTGTTGAAATAGTGTGGCTTACTGTTGTTCAATTCTAAAATTTTATTGTGAGAATATTTTCTTATATATTTTTACTGTTGCTGAGGTGCTGGCTACAAAAATTTCTAATGCATTAAAAGCTTAGTTTTCTTCACTGCATTTTTTTTTTGTACTTAGTGAATGCTGTGAATTCATATTCCACAAGTAAATTTTATGTAAAAGCCTATAAAAGTTTCCACACTGAACAGTGAATGTTCTTTCATTTTTATTGGTTGTTGTGTTTGTTGAGTAGGCTTCACTTAGGTCCAGATAGAAGACTTTATTTTACAACATAGCTGTTCTGGTTGACCTTTGGTGTGTGCTATAAGATAGAAAATTATCATTGTGGCAAATTGGCACACACTAAATCGTGTCCCCATGATTCGATAATGAGCATTCTAACCACTCGGCTCTGCGGGGAATGCTAACTGGGTGCAGCATAGCCTTCTACATTGTAGTGCAGCAAGAGGGTGGAAGAGACAAGAGAGGGCAAGAAAGACAGATGCGAGGTCGAGGGAAGGAGAAGGGGAAAGTGAGTATATACAAAGAAGTATAAAAAAAGGAAGAGAGGGAAAAAAAGGGGCAGGATAACGACTATAGTAGAAAGAGAGAAAAAGAGTAAGAAAAGGAAGCAAGCGAAAAAAAGAAGCATAGCAAGGGGCAGGAAAAAGAAAGAGTTGAAAGGGTAAAAGTCAGGTCAAGCCAGGGCCAGGTGGGTGCACATAAGCTTTGCTGTGACCGACGTTTGCATGCGGTGCAAATTAATTTTTTTTTTCAATTTTGTGCCTTTTCATAAATTGTGTCCTGATATATATAATAATGAAGATTATAAAGTCCCATATAACTAGAGCTATGAAATGTAGAAATCAAGCTAGACTCTTTAGTTAATATAGATTGAAAACTTTTTTCTTTAGAAGGCCTTGCAACACATTTCTCAGCTATAATGAAGTAGTCTCACAATTAGCAACTGACATTTTACGAAACACGTGGTGCAAAAAATTTTTCAGATTCCGTAGGGTATGAGCGGAGTTACAGATACTTATCACACACTTCAAGAACTTTCTCTGTCCTTTAATGCTAGCAAATGTGCTGAAAGGTATGCAGAGAGGGGCATTACAACGGCGGAAGAAGATGCGTTTCTTCGTCAGCGTACGTGATGACCTTGAACACTATTTGTTCTCGTCTTTCTTCGAACATGCGGCTTACCATCCGTGTGATCACAAGTGCAAACACACATAGGTGGCGGCATTTTTTGGCAGCCACAGCAACCACAGAGCAAATAACTACAGTGTAAAAGAATATATGGAGCAGATTGATTGATTGATATGTGGGGTTTAACGTCCCCAAACCACCTTATGATTATGAGAGACGCCGTAGTGGAGAGCTCCGGAAATTTTGACCACCTGGGGTTCTTTAACGTGCACCCAAATCTGAGCACACGGGCCTACGAAATTTCTGCCTCCATCGGAAGTGCAGCCGCCGCAGCCGAGATTCAAACCCGCGACCTGCGGGTCAGCAGCCGAGTACCTTAGCCACTAGACCACCGCGGCGGGGCAATATATGGAGCAGAAATTTTTGTAAATAGAATTGTTTGTAGAGAGAATGGGGAGTGATTTCCAGCTGACTTTGAGAATTATTTGTAAATTCCAGGCCGAGTTCCATACTATAATGTTTAGCTCCTGTGCTCTCAAGAGCACAGGAGCTGATTGGTAGCAGTTTCCTGACTCTGATCAACAAGTGTTGCAGGGTCCCTTTAAAGCATTTTTATAAACGGTACCACCAGTAAGCTTGCATGACCAACATGGGCGAATCTGCAGGACAGTATGTGATATATTTCATTTATCTCGACAAATTGTACATAAAGAAATGTTTGTTCACACAAAACACAGGCATTAAAAAGTGTTAAAAAAAATGTAAGCACCTCATAGCATTCACTACCTATAAATGGCACAGCAAAGAAGACTACAGCAGATCTATAAAACGTACACGCAACGCTTACATATATACAAAAGCAAAACACTGTGACCTGGAACTAAGTGACAGATCATCTTGCATCATTAACAACTTCCTGGCTTTGAGCTGCATGTTTACAAAATTGTGATCATCATCAAGCATGTCTCATCCTAGAAGAAGAATTAAAGAAGCATGTTTAGCAAGCAAGTACAAAAGACATGGAAATTTAACAACTCATGACTGATATTGACTGTCTACCGTAATAGTAGTGAAAAACAGGACAGTCACAACAATTCGTTCATTATTTTAAGTTCTGTACACCACACGCACACACACAAACACGACCTTCACTTTCACAGTGAAACTCTGGAAAGGTTTTGAAAAGTGAACTAATATTTATAATGACCACTTCCACACATACTTGCATACACGTAATGCAGTGCAACATTTGCTGTATCAGTTAATTAGAACCTCTTGTATACAGAGTCAAGCTATTTGGCCTGTTTGATTATGCTGAAAAACATGCCGACACACAAAGTAAGTTAAATGAGTGGCGCAGAATATCTTAATGAGCACACACTTATCTAACCTTTCTTGATGCAACATACTGTTTTCCTATAGTACATATAAGCTGTTCCTTGGTACATACATAACTATAATCACCAAAGGCCTCACACACATATGCATAGAATTTCAAATTTTCCTATATTTATGAATGAAAATCAAAGCTTTGTAGGCAATTTTGTATGTTTACCCATCACAGCTCCAACTACAACTTTCTGCTGAAGTGCATTGAAACTTTGCAGCAATGCATTCCACATATCTGCAAAACTGCACTTAAAGGAATAAACTTATGCGTAACTCATAGAGCCACTTTGTATTTAAGTTCATGGAATTTTTAGGCCACGGGTTATGCATGAAGTATGCCATTATGCATTACTCGATTCCCTTCATAAAGTAAGTTCGCTGACTGCATGGGTAGAATCTCAGCCAACCCTGCACAGTTAACAGGTCAGGAGCTACAGATACACTCAAATCTCGATATAACGAACCAAGATATAATGAAATATCGGTTATAACGAAGCAAAGAATAGTTTTGCAATCGATGCAGTCTTAGGAATACACCTTTATAACGAATTTTCTGATATGAACGACTTACTTCCATGTAAGAAGCAACTTTGTTATATTGAGGTTTGGGTCTTGTATGGACCATCTTAGAAGACCTTAATTTCACCTAGTGAAAAATATTGGTTTTTAGGTTCAGCAATACATGTCTGATGCTTTTGTGACAGACACAAGTTTTAACATATGTGATCCTCAGCTAAAAAAGCAGAGATATGCACATTCCCACATCTTTGAGGCAGAAAGTTGGTGCAGATTAAGCTTTCCAATTTGCTCATGGTTTGTTGAAAAAAAAAACTTACACGTCGTCAAATTGTATAAGACAGTAGCCAGCATGATTTGTGTCATGCGCACTTACTAAAACCTAATATAACTAATATCTCACCCAAATCAACTTCTTGATCTTTATATGTATATAATGTGCTTCACACTACATGAGAAAGAATGCAAGTTCATTGCAGAATTTTCAGCTAGCTCTCGCAAGAAAAACGATAAATGTGGGTAACTTTGCTTGTGGCTACAACATCCCAGAGTGAAAGCTGGGCTAGATCAGTGACTTTGTAATAAGGCAGAACTGTCTGTGAAAGAACACGATGGTTAAACTTAATCATTTCTTATTTGCCTGATGTTTCAAGCTAGCCTGCAAAAAACTGAGAATGCATTAGTAGATTTTTTGTTCTCAAAGTGTTAATATGAGCGCATTTGGCAATGAAACTCTCATCCCCAAGTTAATGTCACACTTTATGTAATAGAAATGTCACACTTCGTGGAATAGAAATGTGCAGTAGCACATTTAGGAGTAGTGCTGTGGTTATGTGTAAACAAATGCGACAGCAACTCTTAAGAGTATAGGTATGATGGCAACAAAGTTCTTGCTCACTCTTTTGTAGATATGGCAATGATCGTTTTAACTGTATGTAGGCTGGTAAAACGTTAGTATCAAGCAGTTTCATAAACTGAACTCACTCAGAAGCACGTAAGTAGGTATGTCAGAAACAGATCTAGGCCGAGTAAACAAAACCAAGAAAAGTGCATTGGAACGGCTTTTGAAACGGCCAACAATTATTGACCGAACCATCATTGGCGAAAAAGTTGCGCAGCGTAGTAGTCACAGCAAATTGAATATCTGTGTATCGCTTGCCCAGCTATCTTGAAGTCCATACTCCCAAGAGACTATGCTTGTAAATACCTGTCAACACTTGAGGTGTAACAATGCAGTGTGCCTACCTTGCACAATCTTTTGTAGCATCTTTGTTTCCTATATGAAACAGCATACATAGGCATTCGCGAACATCTTATAGTACTTACACAGCTCATGAAGGTATAAAGTATACCGACATTAGTAATGAGGAAATTTTCTATAATGATCAAGCGGATTAAAACGTAGGATCGGCAACATAATAACACAATAAGTATACCCTGCTATGTAAATGAGATTTCTGAACGTGTATCATCTGAGCTGAGAAGAAATACTGTATATGTATATATAAAACAAGAACAACAAGCACACGAGCACGCTTGGGAACAAGTATTGCCTAAAGGAGCAGAAACACCAAAATTTTGATCATTTGAGAAAAACGTGTACAAGAAATTGATCATGATGAGTAGCAGTGCAGATGATATCAATTTGCGATAGTCCATTTTTTTTCTATTCTTTTTTTTTGTGAACCATGATTTTTCTTTCCGCAGTTTTCGAACCTATCACATGACCTCCCACAATAATGCAAAAAAAAGCTGTTAGGTATGTGCACAGCCTCTTGCTGATATGCACAAGATTCAAACACTTTCCATTTTTTTTGGCAACAGAAAACAGGTTCATAGATTTGTAAATTACTTGAGACCACAAATGTGCACAAAAAGTGGTAACACTTTCACGTATGTGCCAACAACATACGAGCTGCGATTTTTTAAATGCAATGTGTTAAAATATCCTTTCGTTTGAGTGACCTGATGCATTCGAGAGAACAACTTCGAAATGAAAGGTACTCCAGTTGTTTCAGAATCTATTACCTAGAACTAGAAGCCACCTGCCCTCTGAACGAGAATGAAAATTGGGTGCCAAAATCTTGATGTCTGGTTTCCTTTAAGGCTAGTGGCTGGCCTTTGGCACACACAAAAATATATAAAGAAAAAGGCGAGTGACATTTCTCAGTGTGACAACACTTCACTGATTGGTGCTTCAACAATGAGTAGAGTGAGATGCACGGCATTGGGAACTTGATGCTTTCAGTCAAAACGAGTTGGTGCTCATACAGCAGGCACAAGGCAGTGCCGTCAGAGTGGTGCACTGCGGTCGTATAAAAACGTGTAGTGCTCAGCAGCGCTATGTACAATGCTCTGCAAACACTTACTGAAAAATTCCGCGGGCCCGCAACAAGTCCATGTTTCCAGACATTTGAGCTGGCCATTAAAAAGAAAAAAAAAACGGTCAAGAAAACGCGAAGTGAGTGATGAGGGGGCAGGATTCCAAGACAGTCCCGACAGAGATGGCTAGTGGCGAGCTTTTGGATTCCCTCCGTTGTATGGCACACTGCGAACTCGGTCTCTCGTGCCACAGATGACGGTTGCCTTGCTCGGAAGGCTTGTTGGCTGAACACAGTCTGCTCGTTAAGTTCACTGTATTGAGTCCTCGGTAAACCGCACGACTAAGAGTCATTTGACCATAGACGGTGGCTTAATTAACACTCAAACTCTGACGCTGTTATTGCGTTTAGGTCCTTCATCAGGCCTTCGAGGTTCGCCATTTCTTGAGTGAGTTCTTCATTGTTGAAGGGTGACTGGAAAAGGAATAGAAATGTTTGTCATGGTTAGAACCTTGAGTGCTCACAAGTGCGACAGTACTATAAATGTGTTTCTCAAAACCAATGAGGCAACACCTCTAATATTTAGCATATCTAAATGAAGGAAAGAAGTGCACATTTTAGGGCTTGTCTTCTTTGTTACATGCAATTCTAATGAGAATTAACAGACAATCGTAACACTTTCCTGGGCAAAATTGTCTGTTCTCATTAGCATAATGAAAAGTTTTATAGTTCAGACAGGTGTACTTGAACTGGTATAGCGCATTATGGGGAAGAAGAAACGGCCGAGCAAACCGACACAAGAGGACAGAGCGCGTATTAGCACGTGTACATGTCTGTGCTTACTCATTCATGTTCACTGTGACAATTCTCATTTGTCAGGCACAATCACAGGCAGATGTACAGCTACAAAGTTCTTGTCACGAATGAAATTGCCGTGTCTAAAATAACATACGTAATGCAATTATAAAATTTCCTATTGCAATAAGCATTTGTAACTGTGACACATATTGACAATCAAGCTGCATATTCACTACGTAAAAAATTTCAATGGGCATAGCTTTTTTTTTGGCAGAGAATCAAGTAACAGAGTATTCCTCCTGACTCACACAAGACCATGAGTGGTCCTACTATATTTTTTTTATTGCTGCTGTACAATTTTTTATTGCCATGAGTTTGAAGTCAATGTTTTGCAAAGTGAACTTACCTTCGTAGTGGCACAAGCTGCTTTCCACACCCAATTTTATGAGGGTGTGCAAGTAGTGAATTTGAGAAGTGAATCGAATACCAATCAAACAGTGGTCACAGCAAATTAATATGAATTTATAGTCATGACATGAAGTGAATACCAATAGACTAAAATTCAAATAGTTTTTGTATAAGGCAACCATTTTTAAGAGAGCTCTAGAACTCCACGACATTTAATTTCAAGCAAATATTCACAAACTTCAACAAGGGAGCATTACAATTACTTTTACTGGGCAAAAAATGATCTAAACTGAGATCAGCTCATACACAGCACAGCCTTTGAGATATTTTGTAAAACAGGTTGAAATACAGTGGTTAGGTACTTCAGTATTCCAGCTGTTACTTTGTGCAAAAGTGTTTAGGAACCTAAACATTAAACAACACTTCATAAATAAATGTCATGCTGGGTATTGCAATGAGATAGCAGATTTAGTGTCACCAAACACCTCCATTTGGTGGCACTAACCTTCTAAGCAAAAAATGCCTTCATCCTCAGATCAAGATTCTACTGACAGTCCCATAAAAGCTTGGGCTGCATGCATTTTGGTAATTCAGAAATTTAAACAAGAAAATTTATATTGTCACGATGAGTCACAAGTACTGGGGGATTTAATAAAGCACCAGGTAGCTAGCACTAGGACGATGTGTCAGTCGTGGCTTGCTCTCGAGCAAAGAAGAACGCGATCTTCTTTTTTCCTCCAGATTTAGAGCCGCTCTTGCTGTCAACCCACTACGTGCTGGCGGCATTATCCCCCCTTCCGAAAAGAAAAAAAAACAAGTACCAAAAAGAGGAAAGGGAAGTACATAGGAGCACCGCGATGCTACTACATAGGCACGTGAAAAAAAAAGGAAATTCGGATGAAGTGAAAGTAAAAATTGAAGAGCGTGCCAACATAGGAAACGTCAATGAACGAGAAAGTAAGTTCACAAAATAAACAAAAACACAAAGAACGCTGTATGGTAAAGGAAAAAGTTACGAACAACGCGCAATAAATAGCTTCATGCGCAACACATGAACGACGTCCGGCCTCAGCCGTGTCCTGCTCCGTGCATGGGGTGTTGAGTCCGGAACCACTTCGTAGTTCACGTCACTGACGCGGCGTAACACTTTATATGGGCCAAAGTACCGGCTCAGCAACTTTTCACTAAGGCCACGGCGGCGGACGGGCGTCCACACCCAAACTTGATCTCCGGGGTTGTAAAACACTTCTCTGTGGCGGGTATTATAGCGTCGTGCGTCTGCCTGCTGTTGCTGGCCGATGTGCAGTCGCGCGAGCTGCCGGGCTTCCTCGGCACGCTCTGCGAATTCTTCGGCGTCTGTTGCCAACTCGTCTTCGTCCTGACACGGTAGCATTGAGTCTAGCATGGTCTGCACTTCGCGGCCGTAGAGAAGCCGAAATGGCGTGAATCGCGTGGTCTCTTGCACGGCGGTATTATACGCGAAGGTCACGTAAGGCAAGATCCGGTCCCATGTTTTGTGCTGTACGTCGATGTACATTGAGATCATGTCTGCGAGGGTCTTGTTCAGTCGTTCAGTAAGTCCGTTGGTTTGCGGGTGGTACGCAGTTGTCCTTCGGTGTCTGGTGTTGCTCAGTTTGAAAACTTCGTCCGTAAGCTGCGCCGTGAATGCCGTCCCTCTGTCCGTTATTACACTGGAAGGAGCACCGTGTCGTAACACGATGTGGCGCATGAAAAATTGTGCTACCTCAGAAGCCGTGGCTCGTGGGATCGCCTGGGTTTCAGCGTAGCGTGTCAAATAGTCGATCGCGACGATCACCCATTTGTTGCTGTCCGCAGACATAGAAAATGGCCCGAGAATGTCCATGCCGACTTGGTCGAACGGCGTGCAGGGTGCTTCAATGGGCTGAAGCAAACCAGCTGGCTTAACAGATGGTTGCTTTCGGCGCTGACATTCCCGACAGCTCTTTACGTACTTCTTTACGCTTGCTGAAAGTCCTGGCCAATAGTACCTCTCGCTCACTCTGGCAAGTGTCCTTGAGTAGCCCAGATGACCGGATGTGGGTTCGTCATGGCAAGCGAAGAGGACGTCGTCTCGCATGTCTCGAGGAACCACCAGGAGGTAAGCACGATTGTTCGAACGAGCGTTCTTCTTGTACAGCACACCGTCTCGTAGGCAGAACGACGTCAACGAGCGGGATAAATGACGTGGTATAATTGCGCCCTGGCCCTCTAAATGATCAATGATTGGACGAATCTCTGCATCATCTCGCTGTCGTTTGCTCAAGTCTGATGCACTAACAGCGCCCAGAAAGCCTTCGTCTCCCTCTGCTTCCTGACTGATGACATGAAGGGGTGCGCGTGACAGTGTGTCAGCGTCCTCATGCTTACGGCCGGACTTATGGACGATGGTGACATCAAATTCCTGCAGCCGCAAACTCCACCGTGCTAGCCGACCTGAAGGGTCACGCAGGCTTGCCAACCAACAGAGCGCGTGATGGTCCGTCACTATCTTGAAGGGACGACCATAAAGGTACGGGCGGAACTTGGTGATTGCCCACACGACTGCGAGGCACTCTTTCTCCGTAGTGGAATAATTCGCCTCGGCACGGGATAGAGAGCGGCTGGCGTAGGCTATCACTCTTTCGATGTCCTCTTGACGCTGAACGAGCACTGCACCGAGCCCAATGTTACTAGCGTCGGTATGGACCTCCGTGTCAGCATCATCGTCGAAATGAGCGAGAACGGGCGCTGATTGCATGCGCTGTCGCAGCTCATCAAAAGCTGCTTGTTGCTCGTTTTCCCAGACAAACGGTGTGTCGTCCCTTGTGAGACGAGTCAGAGGTTCTGCTATCTGTGAAAAGCCATGAATGAATCGGCGATAGTAGGCGCACAAACCAAGGAAGCGCCGGACGGCTTTCTTATCGACAGGAGCTGGTAATTCGGCAACAGCGGCAAGCTTGTCCGGATCGGGGCGGATTCCTTCGGCGCTAACTACATGTCCAAGAAATTTTAGTTCTTTATAGCCGAAGTGGCACTTCTGTGGCTTTAGTGTGAGGTCCGCCGATCGGATAGCCTCCAGCACGCTGCGCAGGCGGTGAAGGTGCTGCTCAAACGTGGTAGAGAAGACCACCACATCATCAAGGTAGACAAGACAAGTCTGCCACTTGAGCCCTGTGAGGACAGTGTCCATCATTCGCTGGAAAGTTGCCGGTGCTGAACACAAGCCAAAAGGGAGCACTCGAAATTGGTATAGGCCGTCTGGAGTCACAAAGGCTGTTTTCTCACGGTCTCGCTGATCTACTTCGATTTGCCAATACCCGCTTTTGAGATCGAGAGAAGTGAAATAATGGGCACGACGAAGTCTATCCAGCGAATCGTCGATACGTGGCAGCGGATACACATCCTTTTTCGTCACGTTGTTAAGCTTTCGGTAGTCGACGCAGAAGCGTAGCGACCCGTCCTTCTTTTTGACAAGTACGACTGGAGATGACCACGGGCTGTTCGATGGTTCAATAACGCCATCGTCAAGCATCTCGGTGACTTGCGTACATATTGCTTCACGTTCTTTGGCCGACACGCGGTAGGGGTTCTGGTGTATCGGACGTGCGTCTTCGTACGTGATGATCCTGTGTTGAGTGATGGACGTCTGGCGGATCTTTGAGCAAGTTGCGAAGCAAGACCTGAACTCGAACAAAAGCGCTCGTAGTGCAGTCTGGTTAACGGTGGGCAGATCAGGATTGATGTCAATATTACTCATTGACGTGTCGGCGGCATCCACTATTTCGGACGTGAAACAGTTGGTGACGTTTGCTACTTCGTGGGCAAACGCTATCGAAGTGCCACGGAAAAGATGTCGATGCTCGTTGCTAAAGTTGGTTATGAGCAATTCAGATCGACCATCACGAAGGTGTACTACACTTCTAGCTACACAAATGCCTTGCTGCAGGAGGTGTTCTAAATTTGTCTCAGCCACCACATCGCCATCGCCCAAACCACAGCATGTTACGTCGACTAGAACACTTGTTCGTGGAGGAAGCGTCACACTCTGTTCAGAAATACGGAGTACGTCGACACGCCTTCCACCATTTTGCACGTTGATTGCTCGCTGGGCTGAGAACGTGACGCGGCGCTCTTGCAGGTCAATGATAGCTCCATTTTCTTGTAGAAAGTCAATTCCCAGAATGACGTCACGGGAACATTCGCGTAGAACAAGGCAGCTTGCTACGAATGTGTACCCTTGAATCTGTACTCTAGTTGTGCAGGCACCCAGTGGAAGTAACGACGTGGCCACCAGCTGTCCGAATCTGCGAGTTATGCCACGGCGTGATGACTTTCTTCAGCTGCGTTGTCAGTTTCCCGCTCAGTATGGAATAGTCGGCGCCGGTGTCCAATAACGCATTAACTGCACAACCATCAATTGTCACTGCTATGTCGAGTGAAAGTCGGCCATCCTTTGCAGCAGTATGTGATGTCGGACCGGTTTCTGTACAGTTCTGCGTCAATGGGAGGTCTTCAGCGCTTCGACGTTCAGCGACCCCGCCCCCAGAGGTCGCTTTGTCTAGTTTTCCCGACGAGGGCTGGGAGACCGTGTGGTAGAATACCGCTGGGGCGTTGATGAAAATCGCCTCGGCGATGGCGAGCGCGACTGGCGCCCGGCAGATGGTGGTGCATGCTGCTGGGAGAGGTAGTTTTCGATGTCGCGCGGTCTCTGGCCGTAACGGGGTGGCGGTGAGTACGCAGAGAAGCCGCGAAGCCCAAGACGGCGATATGGGCACTGGCGGTACAAGTGATCAGCTTCTCCACAGTGAAAGCACAGAGGCCGGCGATCAGGTGTGCGCCAAACATCAGACTTTCGAGGAGACGTGCGCCGATCATCGATGTACTGAATTGGTTGCACTGAACGATGGGCGACAGAAGCACCAGGGACAAAGGCCAACGGTGGTGGCGTGTACGTGCCTTCGTAGTACGGCATGTGCTGCGCTGACTGTAGTGAAACAGCAGGAACAGGATGGACGAATAATGGCGGCGATGCAGCAGGGCGTTTCAAAGCTTCTGCGTAGGTTGTCTCACGGCGGTATTCAGCAGGAGCTGGCACAGCTGTATCATGAGGCAAGGTGTCCCGGAGGGCCTGGTGCAGCTCATCCTTGATCACAGTTGTAATAGAGTTTACTGTAGGATGAGGTGTTACACCAGCCTTTTGTAACTCTTCACGTATTATACCACGGATGAGTTCACGTAGATAGTCGTTGTTGGTTCTAGTGGCGGTGAAAATGTCGGCAGTAGACATGCCATTGACTTGCCTGTTGTATTGGTTGGATCGCTGCTGCAGCATTTTTTCCATTGTCACGGCCTCGGACAAGAACTCCGCGACCGTCTTCGGAGGGCTGCGCACGAGGCCGGCAAAAAGCTGGTCCTTGACACCGCGCATCAAGTGACGCAACTTCTTGTCCTCCGTCATTCTTGAATCGGCCCGTCGGAAGAGGCGCGTCATGTCTTCGACGAACGTGGTCACAGTTTCGTTGGCAGCTGGACGCGGGCCAGAATAGCTCGTTCAGCTCGTTCTTGGCGATCAGCACTGGCATACGTCTGCAGAAGTCTACGAGAGAATTCGGGCCACGTCGTCAGCTGTTCCTCTCGGTTTTGATACCACGTACGTGCCCTGTCTTCGAGATAGAAGTAGACACGACCCAGTTTCGCCGCGTCGTCCCACTGATTCAAGGCGGCTACGCGCTCGAAATCCGCCAACCAGTCCTCAACGTCTTCGTGCTCCGAGCCATGGAACGTCGCCGGTGCGCGTGGGCTTTCCAACGTGTAGCGGTTCGACGTCGTGCTTCCCGTGCCGGTCGCCGAGGTTTGCACCGAAGCGCTGGTCATGTTTGTTGACGTGGTGGGAGCAGTATCGTCGGCTTCCGGAGGCAATCCCCTGATTCGGCGGCTGGTCCGATGCACGGGAGTATTGACTGGCACTGGACTCGTATCGCGGCTTCCTGGGGGGGTCTGTAGCATCCGTGAGACTACCCAGCACTTCCACCAGTTGTCACGATGAGTCACAAGTACTGGGGGATTTAATAAAGCACCAGGTAGCTAGCACTAGGACGATGCGTCAGTCGTGGCTGGCTCTCGAGCAAAGAAGAACGCGATCTTCTTTTTTCCTCCAGATTTAGAGCCGCTCTTGCTATCAACCCACTACGTGCTGGCGGCAATATCTTGTTGTTTCAATGCTTTGTTTGCTTAAGAGTTTCCTCATAGGTGCAATTATTTGAAAAGTATTAGAAAAGATATTCAGTATTCTGGCTCATTTCACTGTTCGAAATTTTCTAATATTTGAGCACGCCTACAATACAACAATCCGGTATGTATAAGCAGATGCCGTTCTTCTTTGCTAGACAAGTGCCCTGTTTGAATTGTTGGCTCCAGCAACATTCCCTACTTAGGGCAACCGTTTGCTTCAAGGCAAGATAAAGTACACGTCAGACGTACAGCCAAGTCTTCCTCCTTCTTGGGCGTGTGAGTGGTGGAGGCGGAAGACGATGCGTCCCTGTTGATGCTGCGTGGTGAGGCCACCACGCGAGACTTGAGCGCCGACTGTCGCCCAGGGCTCTGCTTGCTAGAGGGCCCCCCAGATGATGTGGACGTGGCCACAGAAGATTTCTTGTGCGGACTGCCGCTTACCTGCTGCGGTCGTACTACTGCACCAGAGAGAAGTGAGATAGCATGACAGATTAGAAGGGCACAAAGGTGACACAGTGAATTATTTTCGACTGATTAACTATACTGAGAAAAGCCTAGTGTTGTTAACTTACCACTATGTACTTATTATTTATTTAGAAAGTTTATGTCAAAAGTTTCACTCCTAAGTTTCCTGCCAAAACCTCCTATGGTGATGTCATGGATTATAAGGTGTTTTTTCACCTTAAAACAGTGCTGCACAAAAGAACTAAAACACATGAGCAAGGAACTCAGAAATGACACAAATTATCAACCCAATATTTATTAAAACAACAAACATATGTATCTGTACTTAGATTGACTCAAGCTAAAAAACAATGAGCAGACAAAGATTGATTCAATGACGCACTTCCAAGAAGTCTAACTGCACTAATGGTTTTTAGCGCATATCAACTCACAATACATGTACATGCTTGTTGTTTCAATAATTACCGAGTTGATAATTAGCACCTTGTTCATATTCCTTCCTCTTGTGTTATCGTTCTTTCGTGCACCACCATTATAGCATAAATTACCAACTAGCCCAGCAGTACGTACTTCTGAAGTGTTCTTTTTTTTCCATATTTAAGCCATAAATCTCAATGAAGTTTCCCAAAACTTGGTTCCTGAAGTGTCTGTTGCCTCTAGAAGACAATGTAGTTTATTTTTACCAATTAGAAGCTACTACATAGACCATAGAGAGTGCCTTCACAATCTATGACGTCACAGCGGATGGTGTGAGGACTCCAATCTGGGGTTGCCTTCCACATTTTCTTTCTGTGCGTTTTCTCGCTTAACAAGCATCTTCTTGCCGCACGAGTAGCGTCTTTGGCATCAACAAAGAGCAATTTAGTAAGGCCAGAAAAATAGTATTTTTCTTTAGTGTCTCTTCAAGGACAAGTCATAAAAAAACTGCCCCATCGACCACACTGTCTCATTACGTGTGGTATGAGAGCTAGCAAGCAACAGCATTTGGGTAGCACCACCTCTACCATTTTATTCTGGCTTTAATGAAACCCAAAGAGGGTTTACATAAAGGAGGAGCACTAACAAAGAACAAAGTAAAACATTATTTTTCGTCGAAAAATAAGAATGTTTCACAATGAAAGCGAATGAATTCCAATGCAGGAATGTTATTACAGTTGTTTTTGTAGTAATCCAATGAACAGAAGCATAATATCATTATGTTTATAATACTATTATAGCACCCCATGGAGCCTTGCCTCTTGTTCACGGCCCTGAGGTCAATTAGTGTAAATCTGTCTGATTAATGTATGTATATCAATGTTGTTTGTTCATTACAAGATTCGCCACCCACTATTATGCTTGACAACAGTGCCAAATTCCATTTGTTTATAGCTTATAAAAGTGCTGTTTTTTGCACCAGCAGCAAGACTTAACAGCCTATCCAACACTGAAGTAAAACTTATAGCATATAAAACCACAGTACTTCCGTTGCTGGAATATGCATGCCCGATATGGAAGCCATATATGCAAAATAATATCGCTAAATGTGAACAGGTTCAAAATAGAGCTTTAAGATTTATTTTTAATTCCTACCGTAGAACGCAGTCCGTAACAAGTCTAAGAACTAGGGCTCATATTCTTACATTGCACGAAAGAATGAATATCAACAGCATGAAATTATTTTTTCAGATATTCCACGGTATCTACAAAACAAAGATAACAAAAATTTTCACTCTAGACACGTCGCATTCGCGGACAAAGCACACCAAACACATGAAATCTCTGAAGCACAACACAATATCGTTCCAGAATTCTTTTATTGTATCCACTATTGACACATGGAATAAGTTACGGAATGATGTTGTACTGAGTAACAATGTTAAAGATTTCGAATGTGCGTTACAAATGTTGAACTGAGCTGTGATAAGGCACTCACTTGCTCAACTGTGTTCTGCCGTGTTTTGCTACAGGGTGCGCATTGAATGTTGGATTTTTTTTTTTTGCATTGCTTTTGCTTTCTTTGTGTCAAATTGTGAGATGTTCCACTGTTGCTTGACTTTTGAAATTTGTGTGCCCAGATGAGCAACTCCTGTTTTGGCATGTATGCTAACAGTATGAATAAATAATAGCTACAAGAGGAGGCACAAAACGAATAACCTATGCAATTTATTGCCAACCAATAAGCTGTAGGTGAATTGCTTCAGCCCCTCGACTATACTCTTGAAATAAATGTTACTTATGCTGCATACAGTCAAGAAAACGACACTGCAGCTTAGCGCTGCTTTAATTCACTGCAGCTCACCCATGTGCTTTGGCTGTGGTGTAGACGGCGCACTTTGAGGGGGTGGTGCAGGCACGCTGAAGCTTTTGAGGGGATTCCCCGCGTGCACTCGCTTGGTCAGTGTTCCTGTCGTCTCGGCGGTTGCAGAGGGTGGCGGCCCCGAGGGGGGCGGGCCGAGGGGAGGAGCCGAGCTCAGTGAAAGCAGCGGCCCACCCCCGGCTCCCATCAGGGCGTTGCTATAGGCAGGGCATCTGGCCTGTCCCCAAGGCCGAGCTACTAGGATGGCTCATGCCTGGATTCAAGACGGGCTCGTAAGTGGGGTTCCCACAACCCATGAGCCCTGACTTCTGGGGGCTTGGACCTTCATGACCTGGTCAGAAGTAAAGGAAAAAAAAAAGGATGATATTTTAATAAGATGCTTTGTTGGGTGCGTTGGTTGATTCTGGAATAGATTTGAGTGCAAGTGGAAAACACACAAGAAAAGAGGACGACCATGCAGTTGTCCTCTCTTTTTGTGTGCGGTACATCTGCACTCAAATCCTATTCCAAAAGATGATATTGTGGCCTCGTCGTAAGGTAGAAGGCAGACGGCTGAGAAAACTGGACCAAGCCTAATCTTTTAATCAGCATGAGATGATAGAAACACTCAAAAAAATACCCACAAGATAAGCAGTATAGAAAATGAAATTTAATATGAGATGCACTAGAAGAAAAAAAAGAACAGACTATATGCGAAGGCTTCTAGATTATGTCGAAAAAATGATCAAGTGTTTGTTGCTATCTGATAAACAAAAAGATGGCTCTAATGTAGAATCATTGTGTAGTGTTTTTGTGTGGAAGTCTTCTGCAAGTTCACCAGCTTTTTTTTTTTCTTTTTGCTCGATGATAATGATAGTCACTTTGAAAAATGACTGAAACACGCATGTTTTATAGTGCACCGATGTATGTAGATGAGGTGCACTGTTTTAGAATATCTATTCAGTTTTCTTTTTCCTTTTTTTTCATCATATAATTTGGAGTAAAGCAGTTTTCATGCTTCTTCCACCACTGTAGTGAAACAGCACACGTCTAACATCCCAAATCTGACACATTGGCTTGATAAGATCATCACTTGTACTAACCAACTGGCATGCATCACTATTTCTATTCTCACCTTTTTTTTTTAACATCTGTACCCTCCTCCTCCCTGTTCGAACTTGGCGCCTAAACCTTTGAATGCTCAAACAGTCAGTATCAGACTTATTTTTAAAAAATAAACTATAGCTAGATGCGTTCACCAATTGCCATGCCTTTAATGTTAATGCATTTTTAGTTTTAACTCAAAGAATAAAATGACGTTCAAGCAACCTTGTGTCTACTAAAGCACAACTCAGATATGGATAGTGTGTGAGATGACAAAGTGCCAGTTGATAGGCGCACAACAATACACAATGCAGTGTTATAAGCAAAAGCTTGTGTGAAACATTTTATACAAGGAGGAACTGCAGCTTCCAAAGAACTAAAGTAAACTAAAGCTGATATGCAGAGCACAAACACCAGGGAGTTTTAGACATAGGAGAGACAAAGTTCGTGGCCGTTACTAGCGAGTCTTACAAGACAACACAAAATGAGTGTGCAGTAATGGAAGCTGGATGTGGTGTTCTGGGTACACAAAGACGATTGAACATTAATATTGATTGAATGAGCTAATCATTAGTTTATTGTGAGATGGTTATAAAACATTGCTTCAAATTAACGAACTGGCCTCTTAGCAACACTGCCCATTCTAGGCTCGTGTAAACTGCTACAGAACACCATGTCTACCGATTTCTAAAATCCACTATTGAAATGACAAAAGCAGTTTTTGTCCATAAATAGTACATGCAAAAGCTGGCTTCATACATGCAGTAACGAACAGACTCTCTGTGAAATTTCAATACATTTAGAGAAATTAATGCTACGCAGAAGACGGTATCAATACTGAATGTAACTAGCTGTCAGTGCTTTGAACTTTGTGTAAAACTACAACTCGTATTAGCACCCAGAGAGATAGAAAGCAAGAAGAGCAAGTAGAGGGACCAAGAAACACCAGATGAGCATCCGAATTGCTATGCTGCATTGAGGGTAAGGGAATGTGAAGAATGCATTAACACAGTACAGATGCACAGCAAGACTATAGTTCATAATTATGGAAGTGCAATCACGCATCAGTAGGTGCCAAGTAGACACTCGCTAGGCTTGTGCACATATTTGAGCACCTTGAATATTTGAATAAATAGTACAGTATTCGAATTTGCTCTAATTTGAATTTAGGTGATAGGAAATTTCAAAGTATCCAAAATGATCAAATGTGTGTGCATTAATCCGCATGTAATTTGCTTGAAAAAATAGTTTGAATGCAGTGGAGAAATGCTATACCATAAAAAATGCCCCACTTCAATGTCAAATGAACATACATATTGCCCTCACATTTATTCATTCATAATTTTTTTTAAGTTTAAAAGATTGTTATACCAGCCTACATGCTCTAAGTATAGTAAATTTTAGGGCTTGACATATATTGCAGGTTACTTGCATTCTACCGGAAGTGAAATCATGCTACTATTCGAAGTTGCCTACACTTCCTTCGAAGCAAAAAAAAAAAAGACATTTCCACGTGACTTGTTTCAATAAAAAAAAATATTGTGTAGGTTAATTGGGCCATGGCAAATATGCTAATTTTGTTTCTAATTTGATAATATTCCAATACGATTAAAAATTATTCAACGAAATCACAATTTGCGCAAGACTATAATACTCATACATACCTGGATGCATTGCATCGATCGTGACATGTGCCCTAGGTATGTTGTACTGGGTCCTTGGGTAGATGGGACGGCCCATGTTAATGGAGCTGCCTTCTAAGCCAGCATTCATGCTTCCATTGGAAACAGCAGCTGGTCCCATGGCTGCAATGGGGTCCACAACAAAAGCATATGTTTCAGAACAAGCCAAAGCATACAAAGAGGCAAAGAAACAAAAATTGTTTTGCAGTGTAAACAGATTACCAAATTTCAAGTGGACATGCATAATCAGTGTACCAAGAAAGTCAGTGCCCATTTAAGACCTCTAGTAATTTACAAGACATACACACAATATTTACAAAATTCTTTTGTTTCAGACATCAAAACTTTACTTTTTATTTTCCACAGTGAGTAAGGGCAATTAAACTGCCTTATTGCCACTGTCTTAATCATACTTGACTATAGTTCATACAATACAAAAAGACATTTTGGCATACCTTCATACAGGCCAGGTTCTTCCATGCCATCACAAACATTTATAATATGTGCCCTTAATCTCATCGCTACTGCCCCCTGTTGGCATTGCCAACTGAAGGCTGTTGACAAACATCTGCAAAATATTTCTACCCTCCAGCACCGCTGCGAATTCTGGTCTGTTTTTTTTTTTATTTTAGGTGAATCTGAACCTTTGTGTATTAATGCTGCAAATTCTGTAGTGTTCTACTTCACGACAGTTCATATGACAATGCTAGACAGCTCTCAAAGGAAAGCTATAGTATTTAAAAGCAAAAACTTCATTATAAGTATCATTGGTACACTATGGGCTTGTGCTTCCAGCATTACTTTAACAATACTGCTTAGAGTCACGAAGTTGGTACTTTGTTCAGTAGCATAAGAGTATGCTGTACAGTGCTTAATTCCATATTTTATCTGAGAGGCCAGCTAATTGTATTCATGTATAAAAGCTATCATGAAGGTTCGGGAGTCTGCTAGATTCTAAATGTAGAGATTTTTGCTGTTGCCTACCATACCTGAAGGAAACTTCATTCTTTGTTTCTTTGGTAAGATTGGTTTTTATCTAAACTGGTGCACAATTTCTGAAATCGCAAGACCGTTAAAGAGGGCACTAATTTTCTGGAAACAGTGTACAAAGTTAGATTAATAATCTGCAGCGTCTAAAATTAATGTCCTCACGTGAACAACAAAACAGGCTTTCTAGAAATTCTTAATCTAAAGCCCCTGTGCCCAAATTTTCATGTCAGGCACACTACACGTGGCCTGTGCCTAAAGATGGGAAACATTTTGGTAAGTCAAAATACCAAAGCCAACAATAAAAATACTACATGGTAGGCAATCAGGCAAGTGTATCACTCAATTTTTTTTGTCTAACTTGAGCAAAGTGTTCCTAAAGAAAAAGAATTATGTACAGTGTTCATATGGCAATGTTTGGCAGTAACATTTCACTTTCATCACTTGAATACCTTCTAAGCAGCATATCTTGTCTTTCCAAGAATGCAAAAGCATCAGGCATTAATCACAGCTAACAATGTCTCAGATGTTAGCTTATTTAACACTGCTCTTTCACTTGTTAGAAATAACTTATAAGGAAACTAATTCTTTTTTCTTTAAGACACAGAAAAACATCAATACAGGGTGAATTCATGCGGGAGTTGCGGTTCGTGTGGGGGGGTGCACACAGAACACAGGTGGGTCCAGGCCGATACTCACATGCTTTACAAGAATTGGGCAGCGACTTCCGAGAGTCAAGTGGCAACATCATGGGCTTAGTGCGTGAAGATTTCGGTAAGAGAGGCTTATCGGTTTTGCCACTGTCGTCGCTGCTTAACTGGTCTGTGCAGGAGTGGGAAAACAATAAAGGAAGAAAACCAAAAAGGGGCACGGACAACGACCATGCATCAACGTTCATCACGTGAGAGTAGCAGGTGAAGAAAACAATGAACAAACTGAACATAATGAAAAGAGAGAAAAAGAAAACATGGTGGGTGCAGTGAGAAATAGTGTCTAAACAAAAAATACACACACTCAAGACAGTTCATCATGCACACATAAAAGTTTGAGCTTGAGTCTTAAAGAGTGCTAGGAGTTGTCTAGAGCATAATTCTGAAGCCGGAACTGCAGTACCTGCTCTCGCAATAAGAGCGAGAAAGTTGTGGCATGTTCATATAAGGCAGCAGAGAACACACATCACGTCTGCGAGAGACATTACTGTGAAAATCCTTTGTCATCAGATGAAGCTACAGTACAGAGCATTATAAATGTAAGTTCTACATTATTATCCCATTTTCAATGAAAGCTGATCTTAAAAGATGAACTCAGTAAAAGAACACAAAGATGTGCGAGACAAACACATGTATTTTATGCAGGGCCCATACCTTTGCAAAACATGATGATATGCAACCAATTTTTAAGAAGAAGCATGCAAATAGTCTTCATTATTTGGCAGTATTTTCGGTGCCAGCTGAAGTGGTACAGCAGCCGTGTTCTGGAAGTACATGCTACTTGAACTACACAAATCCCATTTATATTATGCAAGAACTAGTTTTTTTTTGGCACTGCACTGGCTTTTAAACACATGGTATGGACACACAACATGTGTGAACTAAAATCCTGCAGCATCATGTGAACTTGAGCATGGCATTGTCATGAACTGGTGCAGCAAGTGCAGCTATAATTCAGGATACTTTATAATTACTGTACAAGTTTTCAGAAGTGAGGCCTATTTCCTAAAACATGCGTTTAGAAAAATGTGAGCTAGCCTCTGATTCACGAGCCTAGTGTTACCGTGTTAAATAGAGAATCTGCAAAAATTTTCACCTACTGCTACACTACAGGGCTTGTTAGAGTGATCTTGGATGTCAGTAAGTAATGTGGAAGTTGTTGATCACTTATGTTTATAACAGATAAGCAAATATGTATTCGTGATGTTACACACTGCGTTCCTTGCTGCAATTTTTATCTAGCAGCCAGGGGCGGCGCCAGGGGGGGGCAAGGGTGGGCTGGAGCCCCCCCAAAATTCTCCCCTGCCCCCCCTATGCCCACCCAAGTGCCCGGAAGCATATATTGAAAACCTAGTAGGAGCAGAGCTAGCTTGCCCCCCCGGAGGAACTCACTTTTCGTGGTTGCCCCCCCAGTAAAAACATCCTGGCGCCGCCCCTGCTAGCAGCACTGTCTTTTCAAAGAAAGGCACTGTCATGCTTTGGCTTTCAAAAGCAGCAAATATTATTTAGTGAATACAGGTGTAGAAAGCATAAGTTCGCACATTGTCATGTGCAGATGCACATAAGGAACATGCCAGGCAGGTTAGTAAGAGACGATGCAGAACAGTTTTTGCATGCAAATTTTCAAAGGCCCGGTGCTGGTAAAGTGGTAACTAGCAGCACAAAGTAGGGGTGTTTGAAAACTTGCATATTGAATTAAATAGTATTCTATTCGATTGGGTACTCGAAATGAAAAGTACATATTCGAAATACCGAATATTTCCTAATAGTTTTCCAAAAATCAGCAACAATGAAAATTTCTCGAAGGAATAAAACGTGCGAACCAGTGAGGATTAACCATTCTTGTTTTTGTCATTAAATTACCCAGAGGCATGTAGACCATATGTACTTATGGCACTGCCAACGCCACATTGACAACAGGAGGAGAGGTTTGGCTAAGAAACTTCGGTGTCGTTGAAGCAGCTGTGTCAGCAATCAACCATCTTTGGTATAACATTAATGATGTTAACACATGAAAATTGCTTATTATTTAAGTAGAAGTTTTATTAGATTAAGAGCTGCTGACAAAGTACCACCTTGAATACTGTTTTTACTAGTATATTTCAACCTGCAGTTATAATATATAGCATAAGCTCTAGTTGCTCAGTTTAATTAATATAGTCTTTTTTTTTCGGTTCAAGGTATAATCATAAGTTCCCTTTCTTAAAGCTTGTGAATATATTTGTTTCAAATGAAATGATGTGGAGCTGTTGGGATGTTTTTAAAACTGTCACCTTACCAGTATATGGCCACTTTGAAAACTGTTGCCCCATTATTTTGAAAAACTATTCTATTAGCATTTGATTCATATTTTAATTTCATTTGTTTCTGAAATTCCCTATTCACACACCCCTAGTGCAAACAACAATACCTCAGGTATAGGATATCCCAGTGTTCTGTTAGGCTGTCACTAAATCGTCATGTTCCCGATCGTAGCACAATGCACATTTTTGGCCCCATGCTATCTCATAAAGGGGCACTTAAAAAATTTGGTAATGGTAGTCACAGCAGTTTCAGTTGTAGACATCATCTACATCATCTACATATCCCATAAAAACTATATATGCTTTATTGGTTTTGAAACACAGGCGCCAAAAAATTGAACAGCGCATGTATCGTCACTGATGAAAAAAGAAACACTAACAGTGGCATGTGGCTTTTGATGTCTTGTAATTACTGCCATGACTAAGTGTGTACAGGCTAGACCAAGGCACAAATGTCAGTTATGCTGCAAGCACACTTCAACTTCGTCACATATTCTTGGCTCACTTAACTAACTGCCCACTGCTTTTGCACTGGGTGCACGTGAGAAACTAAGAAAACCTAAATACGTACTACGTGTTTATTGGCCACCTATTCGCAGGGCAATCTCGCACCATGGTTATTTTTCCTCATCCCTCTTTTTTTTTCAACTTGATGTTCCCTATTCTTATTAATTTTTTTTTCTGTACCCCCTCCACAATACGGAGTTGCCAAACAAATGTTGTTTAAGATTGTTGAGTCTTTCAGAACCACAGCACGATACGTTCACATGCGTTTCTCGTAAAGGTTGCCAAGGACAAGCTCAGCTTCAATTGATTGCACTGTTAATGTTCCTGCAATGGTTTTGTATTGATTAAAGACATGCTTCTGCTGCATGGCAGCATGCGATCTGTGGGGCTGTGCAAGCATGAGCCAATCAACTCTCGTTGAAGAAATCTAAGGCATTAGAAAGGCATTCAAAAATACTGGTACTGTCATTGTTTCCGGTCAGATTCCTTGAAATAGCAGCGCCAGTCACAGAAACCTTACGCGAACAATAGAAAATTCTTAGCATTCCTCAGATGACATTTCACAGGGCTTGCTCGACCAAGCAATAAGGAGAAGGCGGGAGACGTACCCATGTAGCCACCGCCCGAGTTCTTCTTCTTGTCGAGCGTGCCAATGTGCTCCTCGGAGATCTCCTGGGAGTTTCGCGATATGGGAGTGGCTGTCATGGCTGCCTCTGGGTTGCTGCTCTTGTCCATGGCCTTGAGTTCCATCTGATCATGGTGAATCCACAGGTCGGGTGGCTTCAGGTCCTTGGTCGCTCCCTTGCCCCCCTTGGCGGCTACACCCTTTGCACTCGCATACCTGCACAATCGAAACGAAAACGAAGCACTGTGAGAAGTGCACACACTGACTGAAGCGGCAATGTTTTCTTTGCATGAAAGACTTCACTTCTCCAAATTGACTTAATTGCCTAACCCCACTAATTAAAAAGCTGATTAATGTATTTCCCCGAATTACTGTTACTAATAATGTCTTGAACTCTCTTATTAATATGCCTTTTGCTGCAGAAAAAGCAACTGTGGAGACAGTGAGCAAATAGCAGCTTTTCCTGATCTTTTTAAGAATATTGGTCACATTTCTTGAAACACCCTGAGTGTCATTTACATATGCGTGTAGCTGGTTAACCATATCAATCACACTTCAATGAACTACCATGTGGTGCTTAGCATTATGGTGAACCTTTATTAATTTGATATGTTAGGTTCTCTGACAAGGGCTTGATTGCTCTAGTTTATGAATGAAAAAAGACGTAAAAATGAACAGCTGAGCTTGTCACCTGCACAACACGACTCAGGAGGGCAGACTGCAGTTTGTTAATATGAAATATCATCTAATAAATAAACACCGTTAACAACAAAGGCAAAAAATACATGGGTATCTATTTGATCCATAAAACATGATTAAGTTCAATGTGCCACTGTTTGCTTATAGGCATTACTAATAACAGTATCATTGCTAGCTGGCCATGCTTTCATTTTTGGTTGCTATGTGGCCAGCAAGTGCTACTTCATTAAAAGACATTTCCGTTGTGTTCTTAATAAGTAATTTCTTGGTTCTCATATACAAAGAGCTATCTGAAATAGCACTGCTTCACCAATTACCACAAGGCACAAATGTACAAAGTTTCACACAAAGCACAGGGTACTTACGTCTTACTATTCACTGGACCAATGTAGCCCTGGCGCCGTCGGCACATCATGTAGCAGATTACAATCAGGATAAGTAAGATGACAGTGAAGCCTGATGCTATTGCAATGTACAGAACGTTGTTCGATATCCCACCTACATGGAGACAGAAGGCCAACATTAAAGCGTAAAGTTAAACATTAAAGTTATTTACACTATCTTAAACACATTAACGATGCACAAAACCAAATAGTATATCTATAACACGTGTGCATTAAAATAACTACAAGCAACGCCTGCAAAGCTTTGCTACTAACCAGCTACCTAGTGAATGCACGTGGCCTCCTTCTAGCAAAAATCCTCTGCAAACTAACAAGGCTGTTTGTAGTTGAAGGTCCACTAACAGTAGCCACAGAAAATAATGCTACGTTTTAGCCAATTCCAGCATTCAATAACTAGTAATGTGGACAGCATGCAAACTATATTTGTTCAGCGATATTGTAACAGCTATAGTGTACAGCTCTGCAAATTTTTCTGCGACTTCATGCCAATTCTCTCCTGCATTGAACTGTTTGATAATTTAATTTATTACTTTGACCTTCTATGTCTAAACAGTGGTTTTGCAACTGCTTCAAACAAAGAGGCTTAGTTCTCACAAACAGTACAGTGTATTGTACAACCGCATACTTGAAAGAATGTGTGATGAGTTTATCATGTTGATTAAAAAAGAAAACAACCCTGCTAAATTTACGGCAGTGAACTGTCAGGTGCTTTCATTGCTTTCTTCACTTCACCAATACTGGCAGACATTTTATTCGGGCTTCTAGCTCAGCTCTAACTCTATATATTACTCTAAGTGACATAAATACTAATGTTCACAGAAGTTGTCAAAAGATGGAAGTCACTAGAATTTCCGTTCACGTAAAGCCAAGTGGCTGTTTGATATACAGTACGTGTTGCACATGCACATGCCACAACCCCACAGCTTGACATGCTCAGCGTGGTAGCATGTGGGTGATGCGAGTGAAATCCTTTTTGGCGAAAAAAAAAAATTAAAAAAGGCTAAGAACCTGTCACAGCCAAATCCTTCATGCCATGCTTTGACATTTACTTACCGTTGCTGGTTGGTCCAGAAGCAAGCTCTAAACCTAAACATCGCCAACAGAACAAACAATCCATAAAATTAAAAGAAAAGGAACAGCAACAAAAGAGCAGCATACACAGATACACACGCTTATACAGATGGTGACACACATGCGCACTCTTAGCATGCAAGAAACTCAAGAAAACCACGTACAAAGCATTGATATAGAAAAAGCATGCTTTATTTCAAATAACTGAAGAATGAAGCAGAAACACATTATGAATCTCATATGCAGTGCACTTCACTGAAACTTCATTTTAAAATCATCTGTAACATAAACATGTCTCAGACGAAAAATGCTAAACTTTGTTTCCCTCAGCAATACCGTGTACAATACTGTATATGGCAGAAGTCTTTTTCTGAGTACTTTAAAGTGTGTATAGGTATTAGTGCAGTCATAAACAATCACAAGCAGTGCGTCCTGTGACAACAAGGTACTAAGACTCTGACGAGCAACTTTTGCACAGAATACCTTCAGTGCATTGTTCTAGGGACATGTTTTGACACTTGTGAACTTAACAGTAAAGTTCTTGGCCATCAATAATGATGGCAACTTTTGTCATGTGTATTCGCAACAACGTGGTTAAAATAAAGGGACACAGTCAACAACCAAGTGTAGAGAATTTTCAGCCATGCAAGAAACGTAAAGTGCTTTGCTACAGGCATTACATGACAGCTGGTAATAACAGCAGCAACCAGGGAGGGTAGCACAACATACTCTTGCCTGTATGGTAGACCACGTCTGTCGAGAGTGGGCCGTAGCCCTTGCTGTTTCGGGCCTGGATCTTGAAATGGTAGGTAGTGTCTGCAGTGAGGCCTTTGATCACCGCACTCATGCGGTCCCCGACCACAGCTTCCACGACCCAGTCTCGGTCTTTTTGAGAGTTGTCGGCTGTGTACAGGATCACATAACCTGCCCGATAGACAAGCAGAATACAAAACATCTAGTGCAAATGTGTAAAGTAAAAATGAAACACAGGTTTAACATCCTGAAACTATATATAATGGTGTTGCCATAGCAAGGCACTCTGTATCGATTCAAATGAGTTTGAGTTCTTTTACATGCGCGTTAATATTTATACACAAACATTTCTGCACATAGCCTCTCTCAATACACAGCCACATTTATTGACAATCTGATTGAAATGAAAAAAAAAAAATCTGCAAGCTGAGGATCGTTAGCAAGTGGCTTTTTTTTTTTTAATTTTGGCTGCAAAGTGTTACGGTTTCTCGTTTTAAGTGCTGGATAGTTCCGGTACAGAACTGTAACTGTTTTGATCAAATGCAAAGCTGCTGTGGCCTTACTGTATGTGTGCTATTGACCAGACCTCTAGTGTGACATGTTACATGATGAATGGATTGTCCCAGCTACATGTTTTAGTGCCGTTTGATAACACAGAAATCAAAGCATTCTCATGTTAATGGCGGTGACCCTTAGTACTCACTGCATCATACATATTGCAAGGTTGATACCAGTAGCGATGACAACATTTCACCATTTTTTTGCCTTCAAAGAGAAACAATACTAATTGTGAAGGCTGATTACAACAGTTGTGTTTTTCTGTCATAGCAAACAGCCCGCACTGCCAGTGATTCAAGCAATGCAACGTTGAAGCATTTGCTGGACGACACGCTCATACCTGTAATCACGCCATTCTGCTGCTTAGGAGGCTGCCAATGAAGGTTCACAGTCGTTGAAGAGTCCTCGCTCGGAACGACGGTAAGGTCTCGCGGTGGGCTCGTAGGTGCTGAAAATAGAAACACAAAGTGCGCTCTGTATACCTAAATGCAAAAGGGTGCTGACATATGTATAATTATACTTGTGTAGAATAAAGTTTTTATTTTTATTTATACAATACTGCAGGCCTAGGGCGGCCCAAGCAGGAGTGGTTTTTTTGTATATCAATGATGAAAACCAGATTTAAACAAAAAAAAAGAAATACAAATTGAGAGCAAGAAGAAATAAGCAATGAACAATCGAAGAAAACACCAGAGAACAGGAGAGGACTAATCAGTGCATATTTCAGACATATGGCACATAAGAAGGGAAAAAAAAAAAAAACGAAGCAAGGCAGCAATGATCATAACGGTAGCGTAGCACAGATTTTACACAACTAGATACGGGAAACCAATCACAGGATAAAGGCACCGTTACAAATTTATTCTGCGAGCTGGTTAAACAACTGAAGAACATTATTTGATAAGAAGGTTTCAGATGGTAAGGCATTCCAATCACTTATGGTGCGCGGAAAAAAAGAATGTTTTAATATGTTTGTGCGTGCAAAAATCGAGTTAAATTTAAAAGGGTGAAAGTTCCTGGTGGGTCTATGGGGCAAAAGGTTTAGATAAGGAGCGGGGTCGAGTGCAAGTTTACGGTTCCAAAGCTGATAAAGAAATTTTAGTCTTGTTATTTTACGACGGCTCTGTAAGGTCATGATGTTGTTTGTTTGCATTAAAGAGGTAGGCGAGTCATGTCGGCGGTAACGATTATATATGAATCGTACAGCCAGCTTCTGAATTTGTTCAAGTTTGTTAATGTCTTTTTTAGTGAACGGGTCCCAAACGATACACGCGTATTCAAGACAAGGCCTGATTAGCGTGTTATATGCAAGAAGTTTAACATGAGAGGGGGATTTTTTTAGTTTGTGACGTAAGAGGCCGAGCTTACGCCGAGTTGATGCACAGATTTTGTCGATATGCATTGACCAGGTTAGATTATTTGTAAATGTTAAGCCGAGATATTTAAAGCTATTGGTTTGAGAAATTTCGACTCCCTTTACAGAGTAATTGAACATAAGAGGACATTTTTTATTAGTTATGCGCATGTACACCATTTTAGTTTGGTTAAGCTTCATTCCCCAAGTGTCGCACCAATTAGATATTAAGTTAAGGCTGTCGTTGAGGGTAATTTGGTCATTAGTTGATTCAACAGCTCTGTACAGAAGACAGTCGTCCGCAAATAAACGAATAGCAACGCTTTCGTGCACACAAGAGGTTATGTCGTTTATATATACCAGAAATAATAAGGCCCCAGGACACTTCCCTGAGGCACTCCGGAGTTAACTGATCCAAGATCTGAAACGTGACCACCGACATCAACAAATTGTTTTCTATGTTCAAGGTATGAGGCAATCCACTTTATTAGAAGATGTGGGACATTAAGTGTATTAAGTTTATAGAGAAGACCTGAATGCGAAACCCTGTCGAATGCTTTGCTTAGATCTAGGAATACTGCGTCAACTTGGCCGGACTTGTCGAGAACTGAAGAAAAGGTATGCACAATAGAAACGAGTTGAGTGGTAGTAGATAGGCCCTTACGGAAACGATGCTGGAAGGGTGTTAAAATATTGCGGGAATTTAAAAAGCCGACCAGATAGTTGGAAATAATATGCTCCATGAGTTTGCTGCAGGAATTGAGAAGCGTTTCGTCCTGATCGTCCTGATCAAGTTTCGTCCTGATCAAGAACTGCACAAGTAAATTTATGAGGAACATCGGACTTACCTGCTTCCTGTGTAGTATTGAGAACGTCCATACTATAGGCACTTTCCCGGCGACCTTTGACAACCTTCACAGCGAATTCGTAGAGTGTATTTGGTCGTAGGTCGTCGATCATGCAGTTTAGGTTCGTGGAGTTGAAGTAGCGGTACTTGGGCTGTCCGTGGCCCTTGTAGCGCACTGTGTAAAAACGGTTGTCCGTGATCACCTGGCTGCTGGCCAGTGTGCTGTCGCTCCAGAACAAAACGACTGTGTTGGGTGACAGCACAATAGCCTTGAGGCCTACGGGTGGTAACATTGGAACCAGAGGCTCTGGAGCTGCAAGGGAGCACAGAAAGATGGTGTCATGGGGTTAACAGGAAGCAAGTAAGAAAACCCATGCCTTACACCAGAGCAATAACAAGACAGAGTGATTGTTAAGACCATTGTTTGATACACCTATTGGCCAATACAGCAAAACTCTACAAATATTGCATACAGCATGACAACTTAGTGAGAAACTTTATAAGTGGTGTACTTTTTTCCTTGCCACCTTGTGCCCGTCTACTGGCAATAAAGCTGGTAACATTTTCATTCAGAGTGAGGTTGAAACTGCACACACAGCCTGTGTGCTAAAGCCATAAATAAAAAATGTTATATAAAGGTGTAGCCAAGGAGTTAACATCGCACCAAACGATTCTAGAAAATGTGCATTTTGTCTGAGTGGCATGCAAACTCAGCCCGTAATACCGACTTTTAGAACCAGTCTAAATGCAAGACTATGTGCTAGAATTGTCCCTATATGACTATGCGTTTCTTTTGGCTTTAAGTTTGAATACTGGCTTTAATTTTGGTGCCGGCTGTGTAGCTTCAGCTAAAACTTGTGTGATGAGCCTTTCACTGGATTTAAGTATGGCTAACACTTAGAGGGACACTAAATTCAACTATTACGTTGACGTTGGTTAACGAAATGGCAGTCCAGAAACTTCGAACTTCGTAGTGTTACTTTTGTGCCAAGAAAGGGCCTGTTTTAAAATGAAATCACATTTTTGTGCTCTGCATCAGGTTAGCGCACTTCAAATTACCCCCCCCCCCCCAAGAAGTGGACTGACCGGACCAACTCGCGTGACTGTTGCCGTACACAACGTTGCCCGGCTTTACTGTACTAGTAGCAGCAAACCGAAAGCAGCGGGAGCCACAGCAGCTACAACGACCATTGATCGATTTCAGGCTATTGGCTTTGAGATTGCAGATGCTTTTGTTTCAACTGCACCCCGCTAGATGGCACCACCTGTGCGTGTCACCATGCTAAAATTGAATTTTCGAACCACTCGCGCTATTCCCCATAGTAACGTCCGGCAGTTCTTTTTTCTATGAATCAAACAGAAACGAAAAAGCAGCATTTTATTGCATCTCTTGATGCATGGAAGGTTCTTTATTTAGTGCAGCTTGATCGATTACTAGTGATTAATTGTAGGCGGTGCTTCCGACGTCGTCAGGATCATATTGAAAATGTCCTACTGCCACGCTTGTGTTCTTGTGCATTTACCTTAATTCCTCGATACGTAGGGCACTGTTGTTGATAATATTGTCATTTTAGATGGTGTCATACATTGAGCTTTAATTCACTCTGACGTAAATTGTTATTTGATTATAGTGTCCCTTTAACAAAGTGTTTGTACTTGACTGTTATTCCTGCCACTGAAAGCTTTGGAGTGCTCAGAACACAGTATCAGGCTTACCAAGCCACTTGGTCAACGTGCAGAGTGTGATATTAATGAGAGCGGTCGGTAATTTAGTGCTTAAGCTAAGCTGACATAAACTGATGCATGAGTAAAGCAAAGCACCCAGCAATTTAAAGTAACGTACAAAATAAACAAAAACAATAAGATACACGAAGAAAAAAAAAGATATTGTTAAAATGGCTGTGCTATACTCATTACTTACTTGATTCAATGAGTGTCTTGACAGTTTCATATATCGGCTGGCCATCACCAATTTGATTGAAAGCTCTCACGCTGATCACATATTCATTGGAAGGTTCTGGAAACATAAAAAAAATATAATGTTGGATGCACTAATTAATATTCTCAGGTTGTACAGCGCATCAGCATCATCTGCTGGACCTGAATTGATAATTATGGACTCATACGCACCAATAAACTAGAAAACAAGCAAACTATAAAGAAAAGGCATGAAAGCAAATGTTCGTTTCAAAATTCAATAAATGCTTTCTTTAATGAAAACTATTGCTTCCCATTGAGGCAAAAACTTGGACCAAATAAACCTTCAGTTAATTTGATACTAATGTATTTACAAGTAGTTTTGGCACCCCCCCCCTGTCTCAATTACTAAAAATAAAGACAAAAAAAGGTCAAGATAAAGAAAAAAATATATTTTTTTGTTTGTCAGGACATAAGGTAAGCGTAGAGACATCTAATAGCGTGTGATAAAGCCGATACTTCCACAAGACAGAATTGACAATTAGTCATTACGCACATAAACTAATCTTAATTCATTTCACCAAACCCAACTTTCAGGGTGCAAACCTTCCTTGAGCAACCGCATCGTGCCTGCTCGAGCTTGACAATGTGACTATTGCAGGTTGAAAAAAACATTTAAAAAGGTAATATAAACAAGAACTCACGCAAGTTCTCAATGGTGTAGTAGCGTTGCTTCCCATTGAGCACCTTGGTGTAGACATCGGGAAGGCCTATGCCCCAGCCGATGGTGTAGCCACGGATCATGATGTCCTGATTTCGAGGAGGTGCCCAACTAACAAAGATGCTTGTCGACGTTGGCTTCGCTCGCAGTCCACTTGGCTGATCGGGTACTCGGGACTCTGCATCAACAAGATGTAAGGCATCGGCAGATTGGGTTAGCACGTGTATAAACATGCCTTTTCAATATGCTGAGCACATTAACGTCTGCAAGTGACTAAATTTACTGATGAATCACTTCATAATTAGCACAGAGATTCATAGGTAGCACGCTGGCTGAGTGAAAATTGCTGCTTTCCTATACTTTCAAAGCTTCCGAGGACTGCAGCAGAGGGAACTATTCACTCGAAAGTTTATTTTCCTAGCTATATAAACTGGAGTTTGCTATTCTTTATGTCAGATAATCTGGAAGTAGTAGCGACGAGGAGTCATTGGACACGGTGCTTCACTTGAATCCAACACTTTGAAAAGTGTACCTTTCTTCAGGGCAGTGCAGCTGCCTTTCTTAGCAGTACTTTTATGTGCACTTTCCCGAGCTACCAGTTGTGCAGTTTAATCTGAAAAGACTGTTCACCAGCATCACAAGCTTAATTATACCTAATGGCAAGGTATAATTACCTTACTGATAAACCAATAAAGTTTCGCATCCATCCATCTATCACAGGTAAGTGATTCGAACTGATAAGAAATAAATGTAACGAGAGAAAAGACACAATTTGTCCATGCTACTTTTATGCTGGTCATTGCATGCACTGATTTAGACCCCAAATAAGTAAAGGCCACATGGGTCATTGGACTAATTAGAGCCCAAGCTCACGCATAAACTAATCAGTCCTTTAGATACCAAGATACCATTTTGCGAAACAAGAGCCGAGCAAAGAGTCAGCTTTATGCAATGCTCATAAGAAATAATACAAAGTCGTGGCAAACTGAACCACAAGACAGAGTTCTTCCATTTGAAGTGGTGGTGTTATATTTTTGAGGCAATGTGCACATGTACAGTGCATAGACACACGCACTATAATCTTTCGAAACGTTTCTCAAATAAAGATCATTCCAAGAAATTCAGTAATAATTTCCCTAACTTCAACGAAGTTCAAGCATACTATGCATGCACAACAGCCACTTATTAAACCTAATCTTGCCAAAAGTATAAAGGGTGTTTTGTGAGTCTCGTATTAAGATCATAGTGACAAGCATCTGACCACCAGATATTGTTTTAGATTAACACTGCATAGCAGCACGTGACAAGTTTGGTAACTTAATTGAAGCATATCTTAACAATATGATTAGGCCGCAGCTCTTCCATGTGCCGGACTTACCATCGAGATCATTCTGGTATGTCTCCACTGTCATCCAATCCGTGGCCGGTCCTGTGCCATTTACAGACAGGGCTGCAATTTTGACGCTATACTGGGCACCTTTTTCCAGCCCTAAAGAGGAGAGAAACAAAGAATAAAAAAGAAGAAAGAAGAAAAACACTCCAAAAAATGTCAGTATTTAGTGGTTCCAAACTTTGTCAAGCACTTGGCCTGAAGAAGGCCAAGTGCTACTGGAAAGAAAACATGAAGCAGATGTGGAAGAAGCAGTTTGTGCACTCAGAGCCTTGCTATGTTTTTTTTAATCACCTTGTTTATGCTAAGAATGTTAGCCTGTGTTAAATACAATAGTATTCACTTGCAAAAATTCTCTGCTTCGCACTGGTTCTAAAAAAATATCACAACATTGAGGCAATGACAAATAGAGCAGCCCAAAGCATCAGGTAAACTTATTGTTTATTCGGTGTAACTGTGCCCAGTGACAACACATAACACTACAAACACAACAATAGTGGCAAGCATGACTGCCATTTGACTAAATCTGATATGCGTCAGTCAAACCTGTCAGGTATTCATTCTACATGCATCACGCACTCCGGCGCAATCACTGGTGCCAGCATACATTTCGGAATGTGTGCCCCATTCCAGATTGTATGTGCGGTCTAATTACAGACAAGATTCCCCTGCTACAGAACAAAAAGGCCAGTTGAGGTGATTAGGGTACATAATGGTGCATTTTTGGCTGAGCGCTATTATGCACAGTAGGCTTTATTCATAGTAACATGATTACTAGTTAAAAGAAAGCGAGGGAGAGAAAGAGAAAAAAAAACAGACAAACAAGGTTGCGGTCACCAAACGAAAAACCAGTGATCTCGATCGGGAAGATATGCACTGACCAGATAGCGCATACAGCCTCCGGTTTCCATCAGTCGTAATGGTGTCTCCCCTGCGGCTACCTTTCAGCTTGTACCTGATCTTGTAGCCAGTTATGATGCCATTCTGGGAGTCCTTTGGCGGGGGTTCCCACCTTATTATAATACTCTGCAACACAATGACAGAATGATAATACTAGTACTATATGCACTTACAATTGCACTTTGAACAAACTATTATGTTCTTTCTTCTAAATATAAAGATTTTTCAAGTAAATGAAAATTCTGGGATGATTTTTGAAAGGGGGAACAGAAGTTCTGTCTTCCAACTTTTCATTACTAAGAAGCTATATGCAGTATGCCAATGTGGCACACAATAAAACTTCTTTGAAATGTCTGTTGTATTGGTATAGTTCACAAGTATTCAGATTCATTAAAATATAGCTACTAGTTAATGTTGTTGCCATAGGAGGTTACACATGCAGCATAAATCTAGTAGTCTGTTCTGTAGTAGTCACTGCAGTTCCCACTGATAACTACAAGAACTGAATTGAAAAGTGAGCCCTAATAATACATGCAACAGAAACAGTCATTGAAGCTTGCTATAGGGTTCGAGTTATAACAATGACCATAACAAACGGTTCAGAGCATGACTAGCATATTTGCTCTGCACGGTGCAATGGTTAATGAGGTTTAAAGTAGTGCTGCTTCTATAAAAATCATAACGCATTTTTCCTTGAAGGTAGCCTAAAACTGCATGTCTAAAAACACTGAAGTGCTTCAACGAGACAGAACAAAGTACTCACTGTGGAGCTGGCTGCCTCGAGTGTCACATTTTGCGGTATGTCGGAAGGCGCTGAAAAGCAAGAGTGTTGAACAAAGGCTTAACATGATTTTTAAGCAGATATGCATTTTATAAAAACTAACTGTTGCCTACGAGAAACTTTTTTTTCCTGCATTTTGTATATACAAGTTTGACTTGTCAGCACTGTCGTCTAGCATATGACAATATGTTATATTTTCAGTAGGAAGCAGAAAGCTCATCATCCTTGGGCATAGAGAGGAGAGAAACTGAACTTTGTACTTCTCATAAAAAAACTTTCTCGAATATAACAGTATGTAAAATAGAGACAGATGCAAATATTACAACTGCACATTTACTTAGGTGATAGAAAACAAAAGAACTGCAGATCCAACCAGTGATTATTTTCCCTCCATATTGAGCATATTCGTAAAAAAAAGTGAGCCTATCACATGCTCTTTGTACATGCTTTTGCAACCAGATTTCACAGATATGAAAAAAAAAAATTATGGTAGGTTCTCAGTAGTGGTGGCAAGCCTGAAGGAGAATGCAGCTAGATGGCCTCTCTCATCATTTTTTGTCTCTCTTTTCTCCGTTTCTTATGGCTCTTTATTGTATGTGTCTGCTTCTATTTCTTTCTCTAATTCTTTCTTTTTCTCGGTATTCTGTGTGTTTGCTTGTATTTATTTCTCTCCCCAATTCATTTTCTGTAATCCTCCATTTCTTGTTATTCCTATTTTTTGCTTCTTTTATTTCTCAACTTCTTTGTCTTTCGTGTGTCCAATTATTTCTATCCTTCTCTTTCTTTTTCTATTGCTTTCTGTCTGTTTCTCTCTTTATATTTTTTTGTAGCTTAGTTTGAACTGGTGTGCTCATTGATAGGCATCGTTCAAGTTGACACAGTAAACAGTAGGCATGCTGAAGTTGACTTGGCAAAAAAAGAAGGCACACTGTAGCAGTAGTAAGTACAGGTTCAGTCCAATCAGATTCATGCAAGCCACTCCAAACTCACCATCTGAAAAGGTTCGTGCGAGTGTCTCCTCAGAGCTGATGCCCGAGCCATTCTGGTTGACTGCCGTGATCCAAATGTTGTATTCTGTGTACTTCTTCAAGTTCCTCAGGTGGTACCACGTGTCGGTAGTGGTAACTCTTTTCTCCTCGTCTTCTGTGGTACCAGTCTCCTGATAGGAAAGCTGGTAGTGCTGTACGACTTCCTTACGGCTCTCCGGTGCCTCCCAGTAGACGCGTATAGCGGTAGCAGACACTGGAATGGCTTTCAAGCTGCGTGGTGGCCCAGGGATGCTCACTGAAATGTAGCAGGGAAACAGGTACAAGAACAGCTTTCTCAAAGCTCAAGCATATGCCTCTCACACACTAAGTACATTAACCAATGTTTGAGTGTTTTAGATTATTACGGCACTGCATGCGGTGGTTACTATCTTCAAGCAGTGTACATCACATGATTTGATTGAATGGGGATTGAAGCTTCTTTTTAATAATTGCAGAAACCCACAATTAGTCGATGAGTCGAATAATACCATAGGCTTTCAATACTGAGTGGGTCAAAAAACTCTAGGTCAAAAAAACTCTGCATATAGCATAAACGTTGTGAATGTCTGACTCTTTCAGAGCAAAAGCCCTCAATCAGCCTTTATCGGAATCTAGTGTGCCGGCAGCTTACCTTCAGGGTTTGTTTCCACCTCAAGCTCGGGTGAGCTTTCACCTGGTCCGTGTTCATTGTAGCCAACCACGCGGAAGTAGTACTTTGTGGATGGTCGCAGCCCCTGAATGATTATCTCCTCCAGACTCTGTCTCGTAGTATTCAGGACACGTTCTCTGCAGAACGACATGAACAAGTAAGTGTGCACAGAACCTGAGTAGTGGGAAGTACTAACATATTTTATTAAAATGAAGGTAATATCTTATTATGCAGTTCTCAATATTCCACTGTTTATTACATAGAACAATCAAAGTACAGCTCTTTTATAGATATACTAAAAAATGCTCACGTAAGTAACAAAGCACATGTTTTCAAACTGCCAGCGAGCTTACAATATATAATTTTTGGATAATTTACTTCTGTTACTGGAGGTGTGCAGGCCGTGCACAGAGCTTGACTGGAATGACAGACCACACAGGTTGACTGACAGGGTAAAAAAAAAAACGCTCATAAGTTTTAGCAACGACCTGTAAACTAAGTGCAGTTACTGTCATCAGGATATTGTATGTTAGGCATATGCGCAGCTTTCTGCAACGCTTCAGAATCCACTAGTTTCATTAACGGTATTCTCTATTGACAGGAAAATGAAATCAGTATTTAGGAACCCTTAAAAGCACCAAGACCAGCGGTTATTTCGCCATGGGCCACCTGCTCCTATTTATCGAAGCTGGAATACCCTGGTGATAGCAATTTCAAGAAAAAAGGTTCTTCAATTTTACCATTCCATGCCAAACTAAAACATCATAAGCTATTTCATAAACTCAACTTTAACAATGCAATTAGTTGATATAGCTAGTGCACCGGTTTGATTGCACAGGTTGTGTTCAAAGCTGTACCTCTATGTTCCTAGAGCAATGTTGGATTTGAACTGCTTTGTATTGGAATGGCCTTGAAAGACAAACAGCACTCATCAGCAGTACGGCATGCTTGGAGCTATTAATAGTGGGAGCAAATAAATAGCTTAAGTAACAGTTTACAATACACAGCAGTGACTTTTGGCTCTAGCTGTTATTGAACTTTCACACTAACCGAGTGGATCCTTCTTCCCTGTAGTAAACTGAGTATGCCAAGATATGCCCTTCCACCCTCTCGGGGACACTCCATGAAAGCGTTGCGAAGCGTGTCGACACGAGCCGTGCTGTCACGTCGCGTGGCGCCGACGGGACGTCTTTGCTTCTCTGCAAATGGCCTGAGGTTTCCAGCAAGGGGGTAGTGAAAGTGGCATGGGTAGCAAGGTGAGGAGATTCTGAATTAACAAGCATCAGCAGAAATCCAAGCAGAAAAGTTGATGTGTTATTTGTTTTTTTTTTTCATGCATGTGCAACAAAGAGTTGAAGCAGCAAGTGCAATGTGAGTAATGACAGAATAGTATTTTGAATATTTTAATGTGTTTAGTATTGGTTGATCAAAAATACAGTGTCACGGGTAGAGAGCGACAGAAATATGTAAGAGAAATGCAGAAAGAATGAATATTGGGTTTTGAAGTAGGTGTAAAGGGTAATTAAGAAGACAGATTCGAAGTGATTGAAAGTGAGAGGTTTTAGTTGGCAGAGAAATTATTCAGCACAGGATATAGCAAAGATGGAAAAAAAACAAAACAAAGTCTGTGAGTTCATATATAAAAGCACAGTGGTATATATTTTTTAAAATTTTTCATGAGTTACATTCAGAAATAACTTCTGAAGCTTTTTTAAGTATCAGGTTGGCAGAACATAAAGTAAGATCAAGCTTTACCTTGACTAAACAGCTATTTTAAATATGCCACTGTATTACTGGAATGTTCTGTGTCAGTACATTAAGTACAGAAATAATTTTGTTTCTATGTGTACATTGTCATTTAATAACAATGTCAGCTTTCCACAGAGCCATACACAAGAGTTTTATGTCAGTAAACTTGGAAAAATCTACGCAATTCTAGTATTTTTCTAAAAAATAAATGCTTCGAGAACAAAGGGCAGCACTAAAGCTCTAAATTTAAAACTTTGCTCTCTTTACCAAACACCGCAATATGCGAACAACTTTTCAAGTCATTTATGTTAGAGTGGAATATATTGCATAAAGAATAGAATATCTCATTTTCAAAAGCAGGTCGAAGCGTATATGACCTTTACGGTACACAGTATTTCACAATGGCTTTGAAACACTGCAGATGTCAGAACTTGCCAAAGAAAATATATTGTTAAGGTTATTCTGTGGCATTTACAACAACAGCATTATTATGGTATGTTTGTTTTCTATTCTCCAAAAGAAGAAAACAGGGTGCTCAAATGCTTTCTTCAATACTTCAAGATATGCAAGGTCTCCGGTACAGTCGGCCAAAACTTTGGCTATTGTGCGCAGCGGCCACTTTTTTGTCTGCCAGCGTCATACTGTGAAACTAAGTTACATTGACAAGTGCTTTGTGGGCATACACTTGTCCTTAATTCAGCTGAAACTTAATTCGGTCATATGGAAAAGACACACAGAAAAAACTGCCACTCATGAACGATAGCTAAAGATTTCGCCGACTGTACTTACACTAAACATTCGGTGACATATGATACATCCGGTGCACAAATTTGGTGTGCACTATACATGCATGAAAACGTGCTCAATAACTCACCAGGGTCCAAAACGATGAGTTGTACTGCCGTCTGTATGTTGCCAGCAGGGTTAGAGCCAATACACTGGTAGATGCCTTTGTCTGCGTCAACGAGACCCAATATCCTGAGGCTGTTGCCATTGACGATTTGGAAGTACTCGCTCTGAATGATTGCCTCTCCGTTGTGATACCAATGTACCAGCGGGTCCGGTTTCCCATACACTTCACACTCAAACTCAACGTCCTCTTTTTCGTAGGCAACCTTATTCTTTGGCTTCTTGGTGAACCTCGGAGGAACTGAAAGAATGGGATTTATGCAGCTTTTACTCAACATTTGCACAGATCCCCACAAAATCCCAGCACCAAAGGCTCAGTGTCAAACAGTCGAAACTGCTGATAAAAGCATGTGTTATCATTCAAACAAAGAAGTGACAAATCTAGCACTACCGAAAAGTTTCCAAAACAGAGTATTGTTTAGCAGCTAAACTGCTGGGCACGCAGGTGACACTATACATGCTTGTCTGATATGATAGGTCTTACCACTATCATAGACAGAGCCCATCTTTATGCAGCATTTGAACAGGCTGCATTGCAACTGTACAGTACAAATATTACAGTGCCGCAGGTGAAGAGAGAGAGAAAAGATAAAGAAAGTGATTTTTATTACTGTTGGCAGTGCTGGTATATTTAAGATTATTGAATCCTGCTTCTTATGTAATGTGGCTGCACTGGCCAGGAATTAAACCCACAGCCTTGAGCTAAACAGAGCCATGCCAAGGCTACAAATATACATTGTTTAACAACTAAGTACTAGTGTATGATGATGATGATAAGAGTGTGTGTGCTCTGTGTTCAGAAATGTATACCAAACTATGACCATTGGTCGACGGACTCGCCAGAAACTACTGCACCACCACAGTTGCGAATGATTCCTCGTTTTCATATTTTATAGATGTCCTTTGAGTCACTAGATTATGAAAAGTTGACAACATAACAGTGCTAGTGGTGAGCCAGATTCCCACAAAGCTTCACATGCTTACACCCCAGCAATTATCACAGTGGTTCACACTTTATTTTAGGAGAGACAACATAATTAAAAGGCTATAATGTTTTTAAGGCCAATCTGGAAGGAGCCTTTTCTAAGTTGATACAAGTAACTATGAGCTTAAAAACTCCTATTTACGCTTGTAATGTCAAATTAGATCATGCAGTCTCCTTTAGCTGCTTTTAACAACAGCTATCAAGCGTAATGTATATAGTGGTATTAAAATGCAGCGGACGATTTATTTAAGCACTTGCGATAGTTTGCAACTGCCGCATGGAAAAAAAGCACTGTACCTTGAACTTCCACCGTAGCACTTGCATCGACCGAATCTTCGTGGTTCTCTGCTCGGCACATGTACGTGCCTTCATCAGCTTCCTGAATGCTTTCAATCTGTAAGCTCCCCACGCCAACTTTCCTGAACCTGCTGTCTAGAAGTCTGCAAGAAGAAAAGCAGCATTAGAAAACATATCCCCATATCCGATCCATAAAAAAATGGTCACCTTAACATTTGTAACTCCAGTATAAAACAACTATTAGACAACACTAAGTGACAGATGACACAACGTAATAGAAAAATTAAGTTAAGATCATTCTAGTTGGCCACCATTTCAAAGTTAGAGGCCTTGGTCTTCGCACCACTGAAGTTCTAAGACCACAGACCAAATAATTCGACTAAAAAAGTAACAAATCAGGGGCTGGAAGAGGGACAGAGCAGTCCTTACGACATGTCAATGGTGACACCATCTTTGAGCCAGGTGAGATTTGGACGAGGATTTCCATTAGCTGCACAGTCCAGGGTCACGTTTGACCCCTTTACAGCCACAGTGCTCTTTGGTGCTGCCACAAAGGTTGGTGCTGATATCTTGTTTGCGTCATCTGTACATGAACAAATAGCAAATGATGCATTGATTAGAGATTTTGCACTGGTATGAAGTATAAGCAAGCCAGTGTTCATGGCACAGTGCTACACACTTTACAATGTACTCTTTAATAGTTGCCTTGCATGTACTTGTCTAGAAGTCTACCTGATAGCTCATATTGGGGGTCACATTGCAAGTGAACATGAAACCACTGCGTCAAGTGTACTTCTCAACCTCTATGTGTTCACAACTCTTGTTAAGCCATTCATTGATCTCCCGACAGAATTGTGAAAGCCTTTGAAATAAAGAAGAAGTCTTTTCACCCAGAAATAGGGAATGTGCAGGAGGATGCCAAGTAGCTTCGGGTCAACCTTCCTCCATGAAAGTATGGTGTGTTATTGACAGAAGCTGTATGTTTGGTTTGTGCTTAAAAGGTATACAGAAAGCGGGGACCTAATTATACTATGAATCCCATCACTGTCGCCGGTGCAACAAGCTAGTCTGGACAGCAGAACATTAACACTGACAATAAACGAGTATTTTGCAAAGTTCTGTGAGTCAACTGCTCAATGATGCTCGATCATGATCAACATGTTTTGACAACAATCGCCTGTCTGTACCATGTGGGCAGTAATGGGCAATAAGAAAGTGCTAGTGAAAAATCAGTGTCCGTGTAACCTATTATTTTCTACACAATGATGTAGAAATAAGATTGACCAAGGCATTACTTCTGTAAGTAGTCGTTTTTAAACAGAATCTATGCTACACAGTCAAAGATCTTGCAGCTGACTGATGAGTATCCCTCAATTTTCAAGCAACCAAGTCAACAGCTAAAGTTCATTGGCTGATGAGCATACCTGTCTATAATGCACTTCCCTTGTTCAAAACAAGTGGAAGATCAGGACATTTCCCAGCTAAGGCTGAGCTATGCTGAGATTTCAACTAACCAGGCATAAAGTGTTTGAGCACACTTTGTCTCACCAAGCATTTGCTTGGCTATTGACAAAATATTAATTCCAATAAAGCTAATGCAAACACGGCAGTAGCATAGCTGTTGCATCAAAGTATTAACCACATCTCTCTTCTTGTAAAACATGAAATCATTACTCCTGTCTGCTGATTAATGAACAAATGGTGCTCCCACTAGTGTGGCATGCGGTTTTGTCGATTAACAAAAGAGTTGTGATGCAAATTCTGAGAAACAACAAGAAAAAGACAGAATGAGTTGTGAAATGCCATACCATATCTGTGTGTTTCATCTCCCTTGAATCTCATTTGAACCACAAATCTTTTGTTATGATTTGCACAAACTTGCCCACATTAATACTTTGCTAAAGCCACAGGCTAAAGTTGTCTTGCAGACGATACTCATAAATAAGGTTAAAGTTGATGCCACGTGTAGCTGTACCATAGGAGAGGCTGACAAACAGGTTTCCAGCTGATGACACTCGGTTGCGGTCGGCATTGTGGGCACTACACTGGTAAGCCCCTTCATCGGTTGTCTGCACAGCGTCAAGCTCCAGGGCGCCACTGGGTAGCACCAGCATGCGTGCAGGGTCCAGCTGCAGTGGCTGCTGGTCCTTCAGCCAAATAACATCCGCTGGGGGCAGCGCAAATGCCGAACACGGGAAGTACGCTGTCTGACCCGGGAACAGCCGGAGGTCACGTGGCTGCTCATCAAATCGTGGCAAAGCTGCAACAGATGTGCATTCGTAGTAAGTGAACGTGGATGGTGTCTTGAAGGCAATGCACGCTATTTGTGACACACTCTCAGCCCACTGAAAGCATGAATAAATGCGCTGCTAAGGCATATGCTGAGGTTCTTAAGGCATCGGTGGCTCTCCAAACTAAGAATTGTCATGATTAATGCACCCTCTATACAGCATGCAAAGAGTGCAAATACAACACCATAGCGTTTTATCTAACTGTCATTCACTTCCACATGCACAGAGGCAACCATGTAAGAACTTTGGCAAAAAGTGAAGTTTACATAGCACACAACAGGCAATTTATAGCAAATGAAATTGAAAAGAAAGACAAGAAAAAAATTTCCAGCGAGTTACAAACTCAATATGATTGTCAAACTCAGTGGTTACCTCATCCAGATACCCTGGTCCACTCATCATGCTGCTTGGTGCAGCAAGTATGACCTGATACTCCCTCTCCTCATCCCTCTCCTCCTTCTATGCAGGCGACTAAATGCATGGCCAAGGGATCCTTTATCTCACTAAGGCGCTTCTGTACACATGGTTTTATTTTCTACTCCTCACTTTTGTTACCTTCTAATGTGCTGGCCTGCCATCCACCAACCATGAACACCTGACCATGAACTGGTCACCTAACCAAAGCTATCACCTCCACACGTCGAAGATGCACAGAGATGCCAGAAAAGCTTGTTGTCAGCATGCTGTTTTACCGCAATGAATAAGTGCAAACACACATGTTACCATGCATGTTTACATGCAATACAGGCATAGCTGAAGTAAAGACGATGTCCTTTTCGCCAACGTTGCTGACTTTTCTGCCACACTCATGGAACCCCACGTGTGGAAGAACACCGTATGCTGAAGGCTGAAGTTGAAAGCTCAAGGATGAGTGTACTTACCAGCCACTTGGAGCTTTGCTGACCTGCTAAGCATGGTACCGACATTAGGTATGGTAGCCACGCACTGGTACACTCCTTCATCAGGACGTTCAGCTCTTGTGTGGTGAACACTCCTAAAGTGCAGAGAGCCATTCGAGAGAATGGACCTGCAGCAATTGGAAAGAAGAAGCATGCAAATGCTATAAGATTGTGTGGGAAAATATGAAGATTTACAGTAACATAAAAAAGAAAGAGGTAATAGAACCACAGAATGAGCTCCATGATTTTATAATTTTAAAGAATGTTGTAAAGATGTGAGTTTAGGCAGCAAATGTAATGACAGGACAGCACTCCTCTAACTCTCGAACTCTTATGCTATTTTTTCTTTTTATTTCATGTGAAATTTTATTGAATTTATAATGTGTTCTAACAGATGTATGTCTAGTTCTTGTGTCAATGACTTGTGCTATGCATTCTTTATTCTTCCCATTTTTTGTGAACTGGTCTCCCTGTAGTGGCACAGTATTTTGTTATTTTCATTTTTAAAAACAAAGACTACAAGCAAACTTCCTGGTTGCAATACATTTGTAATTACATTTGCAATTTACTACAACATAACCGCACAATTTACTTTTAAGACAGTATGTTTATTTACTTTTTATATACATAAGTCTGGCAGTGGTAAAAGAAACTGAGGATAGTGACTTGGAAAAATCACAGTAGGTAATTTACAAAAAGTGAAAGTTTTCAATCTCGCTATTGTTACATTCACAGTCTGAGGCCTTTTATAGTAGTTTAGAAAGTTTTATAATGTGTTAAGATTATCTGTGAACTAGCATCACCCATGCACTCCTGCCTGTATGTTAAACACGTCTTTTTAATGCCAGAGAAAAGTAACACAGATTTCAAGAGAGGATAGAGACATTTTTACCAAACGCACCTTCTGGGGTCATTAATGAGGTGTAGCTGCACACCCTCACGCTTCCAGGAGATAGTGGGCTTGGGATCACCTGCTGCAGAACAGTTGAGCAGTGCAGGGCCATCCTTGGAGACAACGGTATCTGTAGGCTCCTCCAAGAATCGGAATTCAGCAAAGCTTACTCCCACACCTGAAAAAAAAAAAAAAGACCATTTCTTTTTTCATGCCATAGGATGCTTTGTCATGCCAGTGCTCCCACACACAAAAAAATTGACAACATCATTTTTAGATGCAAAGCAGATTGTGAATGAGGCCTCTTCTCTGTTGTGCTGTAGCTACCACTAGTACAGCACATGCAAGGTACCCACTATATGCCATGACGTTGACAATAAGGATCACGAACGATGACTGGCTTGTGCAGTATATGAAGTCTCCATATGCTCTACAATGCATTTCGTATGACTGGAAACAACCAACAGCCACCAGGAGAACGTGCCCAGACCTTGTCTTTGTAAACTTTAGGCTGGATTTGATACCAGAAAGCAGTAATAATAATGAAGGCAAAACGAGATTCACAGCTCAACACAATATACCATTTATGACCCATAAACATTGTATATAACTGTGCACCATTTTATCACTCACTTACATGTGCGAGTGGGCGATGTTACGGGTGACTAACCGTAACACCGAATGACCCCACTGCGCAGTGATTATCAATGATGATGAGTGGGAAAAGCGCTTTTCCCACTCATTATCATTGATTTCATGAATATGCCATGGTTTTTTTTTTAGTTGTCGGTGTATGCAAAAGCCATATAAGTGACCCTTCAAACGTGTATGGGGCTATACATGAAAGAAAGAAAGAAATAAAGAAATAAAGAAATGAAAAGCACGTGTTATACTGAGCCGAAAGTGCTAGGGTATATAGCTGAAGAACATGCTACTCCTCACCCAAAGCACTAATATATGAAAAAAAAAACCCTGTAACCAACCTAAACGATAGATTACATTCAGTTTTGATCGATAGATTCTCACAATGATAGTGGTAGTAGCAAAAGCAATAGTAATAGTAGTAGTAAGTACTACTAGTACTAGTAGTGATGGACATCCTTTAGAGCAGATAATAGTTTACCTTTATCGTAATTTAACTCTTCACACGTACATTCACATTGAGCCCTGCAGAGTAAACAATCATGTACAATAAGAAAGAAATTGAAGTGGTCCGTTATTATAACCATTCCCGCGAACACGGACATGAAAGAGGCGGCTCATCGGGACAGGTAGCTCGAGGTTTTCTGCGGGCACATAACGCAAGGTGACAGTACGAGCGCGCTTAATGCACAACACGTCGCAGAGAGCTCACACGACCCGAAGTGCGAGAGAAGAGTAATAGGCGTAGCGTCGATCGCGCGCTGCACGTTCGCTTGACAGTGTGCTCGAAAATCGGACAAGGCCGTGAAGAACGACCGGTGCGTGCCACAGGCGCGGCCGGCTTGCCGCAAATAGGCCAAAAGCGCGTCAGCGTATGCACTACTGCTACTTCGAAAGCACGCAGACGGTAGGCAACGATTAGCGGCGCGGAGTCGGCGCGTCCCGGAAGAAATTACCGCGTGACCCTGCATGGCTGCGTCGTTCGGCGTCAAGGAACGCAAGATGCGCGGCGTGCACCCCTGCTCTTTCGAGTATCCGTCCGTCCATGCGAGCAAGCCTTGTCGAACTTTCCGGGTTACGCGAGGACCAAGCCGCTTGGCATAAGGTCTGTCAACCCGGGCTCGCGCCGCACGCAGACTTTTTTTTTTTTTTTGTGGCCTTAACACGGCCATGCAGTACGCACCTGCTATTTTTTACATGACGAGCGCGTTTAGAGCGGAAGCTACGTGATCCGTACAGTGTCAATATTTATGAAAGGGAACACGGCGACGCGTGGCCTGCGCGCTCCGGTGGCTGCTGGCAGCGCGTTCAAGCGGGAGCGAGAGCAACCACAGTCTCTTGTCGCGTCATCTCGCGGCGATCAAAACACGATGTCAATGCTCTTGTGAAAACGCTGGCAAGATTGCAACCCCTTCTCCCTTCAAGGCGAGGATCTCGCGTAATCGCCTTTAAGGAGGAGGGGGTCCCAATCTTGCCGCTGATTCCATATCAGCAACGAATGATTGTTTTGCTCGCCGCAAGATGACGCGAGAAAAGAATGTGATTGCTATCGCTCCCGCTTGAACACGCTGCCAGCAGCCGCCGGAGGGAGCGCACAAGCCACTCGTTCCCGTGTTCCCTTTCATAAAAATTGACGGTGTAGATCCGACAAAGCTACGCCACAGAACACCTACCAGAACACCTACGCAACGCAAGCGGCACGACGTGTTAAGACCTCAACATTGTTATGCGCTCGTGGCTCCCCCTCGTGGCCATCTCTCGCCACACCGATACGGCGACCAGTAACGAATTCTTTCCAATCTCGGCAGCTGGCTAGAGAGAGGGACTTCAGAAGTTAGGTGTGACGTTTCGTTCACGTTGGACTAGTCATTGCATGTAGTAGGCTACACTTGATGCACTGTGCGCAGCATTCGCGCACGTGAACGCGCGCCTTGATGCGTGGCTGCAATGAGGGACGTGGGAGTGCGTGCACGCTGGTATTGAGGGCGCTTTGACTGCGCGGGTCAGGTAACGATTAAACCCCGCGAAGACGTGAAAGTGAAATGGCAAGGTGCTCGCACTGGAAGCGGAAAGTCACGAAAGCAACCTGAGTTCTGTGGACGCGCCTTTTTTTTTTCATTTCTTTGGTGGATAAAATAATGATCGTAAGATATAAAGACCTTGTGGTCTGATAGAAAATATATCACGTAGTGAACACACGCTAAGCTGAAATTTCATAAATTGCAGCCTCAATATATATACTTACTGTGTTATATATTGCATAACGAAAATTGGGCGTGAGGAGTTCTGTGCTTCATAAGTGATCTCATTATTACAGCACCATTTTTAAAATAGAATATCGAAGTCACTGTGCACTTAATCACTGTGCGAGCCTATTATTCCGTTCTTCTCTTACATCCTCCACAACAAACAAAAAAATCGACTATCTCGTGTCTGTCCCGCATCATAACCTGAAATATTCTTCTGTTCGTATATTACAGTATGAAATCTCACATCACTATGACAATGTCTGCGCCGCGGAGGGAAACACGGCGAGTGCGTAGCAAATGATTCATGGCAGAGAACACACGGAAACGAACTGTCTCGTGCAGTTATTAGTTACCAAAACATCATACTTGTAAAGATGGTTTCTCCACACACTTACTCTTTAAAAGGAGAAGCCAGTTTAACGAAGATTCCGACCGTGTCGTTTGCTTTCAATTTAGCTCACGTTGAAAGGGAAAAAAATAAAGATGAGATTCAAATTTGTATCACGAAATTCAGAACGTGTCTAATCCACCTTAAGTTATGTGTACATAACTCATCATTATGTCGTGACATATTGTTATGGTTTTGAATTCAATACTGCGATTCATTTACGTTTTCTTATTTTATATCCGAGATTCGGTTAATTCCGCCTACCTATACTTATTAAATAGGTTGAGCTGTTGTGAATCGCGTGCATTTCTTTTGTATTTCACGCTATTATTTCGGTCTTATTTAAGTTACACAATATTTTTCAGTTCTTTTGTTACTATGTGTCCACTTCTATGCCGCTCATGAGGCACTTATTCGATACGCAATGCCTAATATTCCATGTATTTAATTTTACCGCTATCGCTGCATGCCCAAAGGACTGGGAGCTCTTTTTCAGGCCTTCGTAGCATTTTCCTACCGCTATTGGTTTCTGTGATGGAAGCAAATGAACATAAATTTAAAACCTGCTCGACGTCTCAAATTTAGTATCAACATCTAACGGAGTTCCGTTCGCGCTATCCTGAGCAGTTCACTCGGATAGAGTCCGTGTCCCGCTACGGACACTACGCACATCTCACGGGATCACATCGAGCGTTTGAAACGGCGACCATCGCAACGGCCCCGCCACCGTGGCGTACGTGGTGCGCAAGCGTGCGTGCCGGGTAGCTTGGATTCGGGTCGGAGTCATGCGTCTTGTTTAAGGACGACGGGCTGGACTCGACACCGAAAATGAAAACAGAACGGGATACGAAGACGGGGCGCCACCGCCAAGGCCTTCCCGATCGAGACGCTTTCTTGCGCGGCGTCGCATGCACAACACGACGGATGGTCGGAAGTTCATCGACCAAAGAAGGACGCGGAGTTCGATTCGTTCACTCGCCGTGACGGGGGCCAACAAATCTATCCTGTCGCTGCAACCGCCCGAGGCCCGTTGGTGTTTGACGCAACGCTCGTCTCGCTACCAGTTCTTGCAAGACGCGCCCACATGTGGAACAGTACACGCACTGACACCGTTTTCGCTACTCTATAGCGACGAATGCGCGTATACTGTCTCGATAAACAGACGTTAAAGAGGGCACTCGAGAAAAAGAAACTATCTTATCTTATACAAACAGCGAAGCTGTCGTAGCTCACCGTAGTCTACGCGATGTCACCAGGAAACTATTTAACTGGGTATGCGCCTGTCCCACTACCGGTGTACAGCAAACTAAAAGAGCAAACTAAATGAGCAAGCGAAAGAAAGAGGGAGATAGAAAATAAGAAGTAAAAAATAAAGACATATAAGGTAGAGAAACAGAAAAAATCGTAAAAAGGGAAAGAAAGAAAAACGGACATGAAACGTGATAAAAAAACAGCAAGCAAGACAGAATGACAAAAACAAAGCGATACAATGAGAGAGAGAGAAGTAGGGAGAGAGAAATATCGAAATGAAAGAAATGTATTTAAAAATAGAAAAAGCGAGTCATAAATATATAAGAGAAAAAGAAAGACACAGAAAGAAGAAGATACAAAGAAAAAGAGGCACATAAAACACAGAGAACGATATAAACAAGAAAAAAAGAAAGACCACTTAACTGCGCACTCTTTCCACGCTCGGCACAGCTAGTGCGAAGCTGCCAGAATTTTTTTAGTAAGCTGTTCCCTCAAATACCACGCTTGGCTGGTTTGTCTCGCTGAGACGCTTGGTAAGCCATGAAAAAAATAAAAATAAAGAGCGAGTGACGATGTTGTACGCCTTACGACTTTTTACTTTTTTTTTTCGAAATAACGCAGCAGTCGCTCTCAGGATCGCCTCGGTGT